AGGTCTGTAATATTTATCATAGGTACACTTCAACTGTGAGAGACGGAATCTAAAACAAAAATCCAGAAAATCACAGATGACGGTCAATCACCCTCGGTCTGGGGCTCCATGCAAGATCTCACCTCGTGGGGCATCAATGATCATGAGGAAGGTGAGGGATCAGCCCAGAACTACACGGCAGGACCTGGTCAATGACCTGAAGAGAGCTGAGACCACAGTCTCAAAGAAAACCATTAGTAACACACTACGCCGTCATGGATTAAAATCCTGCAGCGCACGCAAGGTCCCCCTGCTCAAGCCAGCGCATGTCCAGGCCCGTCTGAAGTTTGCCAATGACCATCTGGATGATCCAGAGGAGGAATGGGAGAAGGTCATGTGGTCTGATGAGACAAAAATAGAGCTTTTTGGTCTAAACTCCACTCGCCGTGTTTGGAGGAAGAAGAAGGATGAGTACAACCCCAAGAACACCATCCCAACCGTGAAGCATGGAGGTGGAAACATCATTCTTTGGGGATGCTTTTCTGCAAAGGGGACAGGATGACTTCACCGTATTGAGGGGAGGATGGATGGGGCCATATATCGTGAGATCTTGGCCAACAACCTCCTTCCTTCAGTAAGAGCATTGAAGATGGGTCGTGGCTGGGTCTTCCAGCATGACAACGACACGAAACACACAGCCAGGGCAACTAAGGAGTGGCTCCATAAGAAGCATCTCAAGGTCCTGGAGTGGCCTAGCCAGTCTCCAGACCTGAACCTAATAGAAAATCTTTGGAGGGAGCTGAAAGTCCGTATTGCCCAGCGACAGCCCCGAAACCTGAAGGATCTGGAGAAGGTCTGTATGGAGGAGTGGGCCAAAATCCCTGCTGCAGTGTGTGCAAACCTGGTCAAGACCTACAGGAAACGTATGATCTCTGTAATTGCAAACAAAGGTTTCTGTACCAAATATTAAGTTCTGCTTTTCTGATGTATCAAATACTTATGTCCTGCAATAAAATGCAAATTAATTACTTAAAAATCATACAATGTGATTTTCTGGATTTTTGGAAAATTACAGACCTCTACATGCTTTGTAAGTAGGAAAACCTGCAAAATCGGCAGTGTATCAAATATTTGTTCTCCCCACTGTACATCCCTGCCGGGGATTCCCTCCTCTACCCTGGACGACGCTGGGCCAATTGTGCGCCGCCCCATGGGTCTCCCGGTCGCGGCCGGCTACAACAGAGCCTGGATGACCAGCCTTTCAAAGCACTTCATGGCTACAGACGTGAGTGCTACGGGTCTGTAGTCATTTAGGCAGGTTACCTTAGTGTTATTGGGCACAGGGACTATGGTGTTCTGCTTGAAACATGTTAATATTACAGACTCGGTCAGGGACAGGTTGAAAATGTCAGTGAAGACACTTGTCAGTGCATGCAGAGAGTACACGTCCTGGTAATCCATCTGGCCCTGCGGCCTTGTGAATGTTGACCTATTTAAAGTTCTTACTCACATCGGCTATGGAGAGCGTGATCACACAGTTGTCCGGAACAGCTGATGCTCTCATGCATGCTTCAGTGTTGCTTGCCTCGAAGCAAGCATAGAAGTAATTTGGTTCGTCTGTTAGGCTCGTGTCACTGGGCAGAGGCTGTGCTTCCCTTTGTGGTCTGTAATAGTTTGCAGGCCCTGCCACATCCGACGAGCATCAGAGCCGGTGTAGTACGATTCAATTTTAGTCCTGTATTGACGCTTTGCCTGTTTGATGGTTTGTCGGAGGGCATAGCAGGATTTCTTATAAGCTTCCGGGTTAGAGTCCCTCTCCTTGAAAGCGGCAGCTCTACTCTTTAGCTCAGTGCGGATGTTGCCTGTAATCCATGGCTTCTGGTTGGGGTATGTACGTATAGTCACTGTGGGGACGACGTCATCGATGCACTTACGAGGTGCGTAATCACTGTCCTGATATCCAGAAGCTATTTTCGGTCATAAGAGACGGTGGCAGAAACATTATGTACAAAATAAGTTACAAATAACGCGAAAGAACACACACAATAGCACAATTGGTTAGGAGCCCCTAAAACGGCAGCCATCTCCTCCGGCGCCATTATCACAGGCTCTGACTGTCTGCTCTATATCAGCATTCATCTTGGGCCAGAAACAGTCTCTGTACCCTTGGTGGTGTGTTTGTTAGACTCTTCTTTGCAATAGTAACCAAAGGTTTATGATCTGTTTCGGCCCATACTGTTTTACCATAGATAAACACATGGAATTTCTGAAATGCATATGACAGTGCCAATGCCTCTTTCTCAATCTGAGCCCTGGAGGCATATGTGACTGTGCGCCATCTAGTGTCATACTGCTGTAACAACACTGTAACTAAACCTGCTTTAGAGGCATCTGCTGAGATTTTGGTTTTGCGCTTTTCATCATAGAACCTCAGTACTGGAGCATGCATGATTCATGCCTTGAGCTCCTCAAACTCTTTCTGGTGATTACTGTTCCAACACCACTCAGTCGTTTTACACAGTAGATTTCTCATCTGACTCGTGTGAGTTGCCAGATTAGGTACAAATTTGCCCACATAGTTAACCATACCTAAGAACCTTTGTACCCTCTCTTGATTGGTAGGTGGTGGCATGTTCTTGATGGCTGTCACTTTGCTCTGTTCTATCTGAACACCTTCACATGTTAGTTTTTCACCCAAGAACGTTATTTCTGTCTTTCTGAATTCACATCACGTCTGCGTTCAGCTTTAGTCCATTAGCTCTGGCTAGATCAAGTGCTGCTTTCAACCTTGTGATGTGCTCTTTAAGAGTCTGACCCCATTTTAGCACATCATCAATGTACACTATTTAGCCCCTGCCATGTCCCCAAATATCTCCCCTCTGGTAGGCAGCTGAAAGTGTTCCCTTTTTACATACTTGTTTTGCTCTTTTGGATCCATACACAGTCGGAGCGAGCCGTCTTTCTTAACTATTACTAGTGAGTGGACCCATTCAGTAGGCTCTTCTACTTTGTCTAGGATATCTAAGGACTCTAACCTCAGTAGCTCTGCTTTTAGCTTGTCTCTTAGTGATAATGGTACCGTTCTAGGTGCATGGATCACTGGTATATTTGGCTGATCTAACTCCATTTTGTGCTGCACCTTGAGTTTTCCTATTCCCTGAAAAACATCAGCATATGCATCCTCAATATTAGTCATTTCACCATTCACTATATGAACCTGTTCCACTAGACCCAGTAAGTTACATGACTTTAACCCAATGATGGGTGTTTTTTCTTCCTTTACTATGACAAACGGAACCTTGTGAGATGTATAATCTACCTCCAGCACCAATGTGCATGTCCCTGAAGTGGCAATTGCTTCACCACTGTAAGCTTTCAGTCATATCCTTTGTTTTGTGTTCACCACTGGTTTTACCTGTAACCGTAATAATTCAGTCTCTGAAATGATGTTGATCTGTGCTCCAGTGTCAAGTTCGAACACAACGTCAGTTCCATTACTCTTGTACAGTGAGGGAAAAAAGTATTTGATCCCCTGCTGATTTTGTAAGTTTGACCACTGACAAAGACATGATCAGTCTATAATTTTAATGATAGGTTTATTTGAACAGTGAGAGACAGAATAACAACAACAAAAATCCAGAAAAACGCATGTCAAAAATGTTATAAATTGATTTGCATTTTAATGAGGGAAATAAGTATTTGACCCCTCTGCAAAACATTACTTAGTACTTGGTGGCAAAACCCTTGTTGGCAATCACAGAGGTCAGACGTTTCTTGTAGTTGGCCACCAGGTTTGCACACATCTCAGGAGGGATTTTGTCCCACTCCTCTTTGCAGATCTTCTCCAAGTCATTAAGGTTTCGAGGCTGACGTTTGGCAACTTGAACCTTCAGCTCCCTCCACAGATTTTCTATGGGATTAAGGTCTGGAGACTGGCTAGGCCACTCCAGGACCTTAATGTGCTTCTTCTTGAGCCACTCCTTTGTTGCCTTGGCCGTGTGTTTTGGGTCATTGTCATGCTGGAATACCCATCCACGACCCATTTTCAATGCCCTGGCTGAGGGAAGGAGGTTCTCACACAAGATTTGATGGTACATGGCCCCGTCCATCGTCCCTTTGATCCGGTGAAGTTGTCCTGTCCCCTTAGCAGAAAAACACCCCCAAAGCATAATGTTTCCACCTCCATGTTTGACGGTGGGGATGGTGTTCTTGAGGTAGTTCTGGGCTGATTCCTCACCGTTCTCATGATCATTGCAACTCCATGAGGTGAGATCTTGCATGGAGCCCCAGGCCGAGGGAGATTGACAGTTCTTTTGTGTTTCTTCCATTTGCGAATAATCGCACCAACTGTTGTCACCTTCTCACCAAGCTGCTTGGCGATGGTGTTGTAGCCCATTCCAGCCTTGTGTAGGTCTACAATCTTGTCCCTGACATCCTTGGAGAGCTCTTTGGTCTTGGCCATGGTGGAGAGTTTGGAATCTGATTGATTGATTGCTTCTGTGGACAGGTGTCTTTTATACAGGTAACAAGCTGAGATTAGGAGCACTCCCTTTAAGAGTGAGCACCTAATCTCAGCTCGTTACCTGTATAAAAGACACCTGGGAGCCAGAAATCTTTCTGATTGAGAGGGGGTCAAATACTTATTTCCCTCATTAAAATGCAAATCAATTTATAACATTTTTGACATGCGTTTTTCTGGATTTTGTTGTTGTTATTCTGTCTCTCACTGTTCAAATAAACCTACCATTAAAATTATAGATTGATCATTTATTTGTCAGTGGGCAAAAGTACAAAATCAGCAGGGGATCAAATGCTTTTTTCCCTCACTGTAGGTAGCAGTCCTCGTTTGGTCCTGCAAGTGTGAGTGTTCCCACAAAGAGGTCACCCAAAGACCCCTCACTGTACTTGTTGTCACTGCTGTTGTCCTGGCCCTCGTTGACAATGCACTGTTTTTTGTCTCCGCTGCCTGCATTTAAGTGCGAAGTGGTTCTTCATGCCACAGTTGTAACACTATTTTCTATATGCTGAGCACTGGCGAGGTCTGTGCTCTCCTCCACAGTTGCCGCACGAGCGCTGGTTCCCTGATGTGCGCTTCTGACTGCTGTCGGCGCTGTCCTTTGAAGTTAGCCATTTCGCTGTAGCTCTTCCTTTGCTAACATACTCCACTTTGCATACTGTGTCACTAAGAACACCATTGACCGTATGCGACTATGAGTCACCTCTAGCTTCACACATTTTGTATTGCTCTTTCTAGTGTCAATTCATTCTCACCAACTAACTTTTCTCTCAGCCCCTTGTCTCTCACCCCATGACAATTATCTCGTATCAGCGAGTCTGCAATTTGACCGAAATTAAACGACTGACATTTCAGTTTCAAGTCCATAATAAATTCCTCAAGTCTGTTTCATTCTGACATCTACTGTTGAAAACATACCTCTCAAATGTCTTGTTTCTTCTGGGAGTTCAAAAAGACTGAAATTTAGCTAATACCAGTTCATAATCTGCTTGCTCTTCATCCGTTAGCTGAAAGCTGTTGTAGACATCAATGTCGTCCGAGCCAGCTACTGTGAGAAACAGTGCGACCTTCTGTGCGTTGTCTTTTCAGCCGCTCCTATCGCTTTCAGATAGAGGGTGAAACGCTGCTTGAACCGCTTCCATTGCTCTTCAACGTTGTCGTTAAGTTTCAGTTCTGTTGGAGGCTTTAGCTGCTCCTTGTCGTTAGCCAGCTCGCACAGCAAAATTACTAGTTACAAGCACTGCACGCGCCGTTAGCTCCGGCGTGGTTATTTTTACCTCAGTCTCGTTAGCCCTGTGGCTAGTTAGCTAACGTTAGCTAAAGTTAGCTAGTTGATGTGAAGCCTCTTGGCGCCGTTAAGCATTTTCGACCAAAACTTGATGATGGATGAGTCAAAGGCGAGTTCTGTCAATCCTGGTACCATGTTGTATCTTCTTGTCTAAGAAATACTAAAGAAAGCAACTGTTCTTTAAAACATACAGTACCAGTCAAAAGTTTGGACACACCTACTCATTCAAGGGTTTTTCTTTATTTTTACAATTTTTTACATTGTAGAATAATAGTGAAGACATCAAAACTATGAAATAACACATGGGATCATGTAGTAACCAAAAAAGTGTTAAACAAATCAAAATATATTTTATATTTCAGATTCTTCAAATGGCCACCCTTTGCCTTGATGACAGCTTTGCACACTCTTGTCATTCTCTCAACCAGCTTCACCTGGAATGCTTTTCCAACAGTCTATGCTGAGCACTTGTTGGCTGCTTTTCCTTCACTCTGCCGTCCGACTCATCCCAAACCATCTCAATTGGGTTAAGGTCGGGGGATTGTGGTGGCCAGACCGTCTGATGCGGCACTCCATCACTCTCCTTCTTGGTAAAATAGCCCTTACACAGCCTGGAGGTGTGTTGGGTCATTGTCCTGTTGAAAAACAAATGATAGTCCCGCTAAGCCCAAACCAGATGGGATGGCGTATCACTGCAGAATGTTTTAGTAGCCATGCTGGTTAAGTGTGCCTTGAATTTTAAATAAATCACAGACAGTGTCACCAGCAAAGCACCTCCACACCATAACACCTCCTCCTCCATGCTTTACGGTGGGAACTACACATGCAGCGATCATCCGTTCATTCAATTCAGCATTCAATTAATCAATGAGTGAGGTTACATGCACACAGTAATGCAATTATTGTGGATAATCAGATTAATATTATAGTTCGATTAAAACGTTCACATGCTTTGCAAGAAGAACAATTTCCCTAATAATCCTATTTACATGGACACATCTAAAATTAGGCTACCTGATGGCACTCTGATAAATGCAGAAAATCGGCATTCAAAATAAACGTTCTACCACTGCGACCATGGTATTTTTGGTAATCATATTTGATTCTGAGTTCGGACATAAAGTTTGTGTGAAAACTATTTCTAAGACGCATACATTCAGTTGTTTCGAACTCACTTCACTAAAGAGGGAGGCTCGCTTGGCTGGTGCTAGCACATGCGCAGATCAAATACACTGCTGGAATGCCGATTTAAGGTGTTTACCTGTCCTAATAATTCGAAAGATTGCTCAGAAAACCATATGTTTTAATCGTCATATGCTTACTTCGATTTTGACCTTACCCCGATGTCACGCCCTGGCTCTGGGGACTCTTGTATGTTGAGCCAGGGTGTTAGTTTCTTTGTGTAGTGTCTATGTTTCGTTTTCTATGTTCTGTTCTAGGTTATGTGTTTCAATGTTGGCCGGGGTGGTTCTCAATCAGAGGCAACGTGAATCAGCTGTTGCTTGTTGTCTCTGATTGGGAACCATAGTTAGGCAGCCTGTTGTGCACTTGTGTTTTGTGGGATCTTGTTCCGTGTTGGTTTGTGTTGTTAACCGAGGACTTCACGTTTCGTTTGGTTGTTTTGTATTTTGTATCGTGTTGCCAGTACACTATTAAAAAGATATACGCATATCACGCTCCGCCTTGGTCCAATCATTATGACGATCGTGACAGCCATTTTTTAAAATAAAAAATGGTGTTTACGTGACTATTGCATAATCTGCCTACTGCCATAATCAGTTTAATATTGAATTTTTACTGTGCATTTAAACTTATTCAATAAAGATTGAATTGAACCTATATCTGGAGAATAATTATAAGGGGAAGTATCTCCTGCTACATTGTGGGTTACAGCTAAGGTGGTTATCAGAGGGAAGATCATAGCCACATCATCTCTCAAGAAAAAGATTAAAGCACAGAAACTGCTGAAATTACAGAAACCCAGTGTGGAAGAACTTGACTGGCCTGCACAGAGCCCTGACCTCAACCCCATCAAACACCTTTGGTATGAATTGGAACGCCGACTGCGGGCCAGGCCTAATCGACCAACATCAGTGCCCGACCTCACTAATGCTCTTCTGGCTGAATGGAAGTCCCCGCAGCAATTTTCCAACATCTAGTGGAAAGCCTTCCCAGAAGAGTGGAGGCTGTTATAGCAGCAAAAGGGGGACCAACTCCATATTAATATCCATGATTTTGGAATGAGATGTTCGACAAGCAGGTGTCCACATACTTTTGGTGATGTAGTGTATATTGCGTGAGATTCAAAAGGTCAAACAGGAAATTGATCAGATTTATAGTGAAGAAGTAGAGAAAAATCTCAGGTTCCTGAAACAACGATATTATGAACCCGGCTCAAAGGCAACAACATTACTAGAATGGAGACTCGGAAAACAACAAGCACAGAATACAATATTCGAAATAAAAGACCCTAAAATAACGATGATTACATGCAAATGGGATGAAATACAGAATGCATTTGAATCATAGTATACAAATCTGTACAAGCAACCAGAGAAGGCAGATACACAGACAATATAGTTGTTGTTTTTTACTTGATCTCCCCTCAATTGGGACACAGCAAAATGATAGACTTCAGAAATAACCATTGAAGAAATGTAATAATGCAATATCTAATCTAAAAGCAAACAAATCTCCAGGCACTGATGGCTTCCTTTCAGAATGGTTCAAAGCCTTCAGAGAACAACTAGCACCTCTACTTCAGGTCTGTTTGAACTAGACTCTATGGGAGGGGGATCTACCACCATCGGGGAGAGAAGCCATAATATCTGTAATTCCAAAGGAGGGTAAAGATAAGAAGGAATGCAGTTCCTATAGACCTATTACAATTCTTAATGTGGATTATAAACTGTATGCATCAATAATAGCCAAAAGAATGGAGGACATAAACCCAGAATTGATTGATGGAGATCAAACTGGTTTCATACGAAATAGACAGACACAGGACAACATAAGGAGAACACTACATGTCATGGACCACATCACTCAGGATAAAAGTGCTATATTAACCAGTCTAGATGCAGATTAAGCATTTGATTCAGTGGGATGGGATTATCTATTCCAAGTTATGGATAGATTTGATTTCAACAAAGAAGTGATACAGTGCATCAAAACACTATATTCATCTCCGACTGCCAGAATAAAAGATTAATGGACATTTGTCACAAACAATACGTCTAAAATGAGGGGCAAGATAAGGCTGTAATCTTTAACCCACGCTCTTCTTGTACACCGAGCCATTAGCACAGGCAATAAGACAGGACCCATCCTTAGAGGGAATAACATTAAGAGGCAGTGAACTAAGATATGCATGTATACTGATGACGTTCTGTTTTTTCTTAAAGACCCAGGTTCAAGTGTACCTAGAATGATGAATGTTTTACAAACATTTGGAACATTTTCAGGGTATGTGCTTAACTTAGACCCAAGCCCTAGTATATAATTATACCCACAGCAAGAGCTGAAGAGCAGATGTAACTTCCAGTGGACCTCTTCATCCATTAAGTATCTTGGAGTAAATCTACCAAAAGATACAACAAAACTTTATGAAATGAATCATGTTCCCATCAACAAGAAAATATGTTGACCTGGACAGGTGGAATTCACTTCCTTTGGATCTTAGTAGTAGAATTTCAACAATTAAAATGAATATCCTGCCGAGGTTACTGTATTTGTTCCAGTCACTGCCCATAGAAATCCTACCTAAACAGTTAGGGAATGGGACAAACGGATATCAAGGTTTTATCTGGAACAGTAAGAGGCCAAAAATGTAGTATACAACATTACAATTACCAAAACACAGGGGGAGTATGGCCTTACCAAGCCTAAAATATTAATTTTGGATCCATACTTGGAAGTTGTCTAATTCAAGGATGATGTTACTGTAACTAATCTGATGTATGTATGATGTGTGCTGTACCTCTGTAGCTCAGCTGGTAGAGCACGGCGCTTGTAACGCCAAGGTAGTGGGTTCGATCCCCGGGACCACCCATACACAAAAATGTATGCACGCATGACTGTAAGTCGCTTTGGATAAAAGCGTCTGCTAAATGGCATATTATTATTATTATTATTATTACCTGCCTGCCTGTTTTGTGTTTTTGTGTATGTGTATTCTTCAATAAAAAGAAAGTATATAAAAATAAAAGTTATGTGAAATTGTTCCAAACTTGCATGAATTGTTTTATTACTGCTCTTGGGTCTGGGATAGGTATAAACAGTGTGTTAATATAATATTTGATCACTTCAATCTTTTACTAGGTACAGTTGATTTTCTATAATAATGCCAGAATCTGGCATTCTTCATTGGAGATTAGTACTTCTTTATAGAAGTGAGTTTTCTTTCCAAACCATTGTTTATTTTCTGCAGCGACTGCTTGCATAACAGTAGCTGAGGTCATAGCTTCATAATGACTGGATGTTACAGTAATGAGGCTGCCCTCCCATACCCCCCTGTCCTGCTCTTGACATTTCACATTGACATTTCTCCACTCTACGAAACATCAACTTTTTAATGAGCACATGATGAGTTCGGAGACTGTTTGTGTGTTTTTACGATTGTATTTATCCTCATGTTTTCCAAGCCCCATTGTAAATATTCTAATGGAGGGCAGTAATATCAGCCATTATGAAAAGCCAATTCTGTCGCATGCCTTTTTGTACTGTAGATCATTGTATACTAAGGTGTGTATGTGTGCGCATGCATGTGCATGTCTGTGTGCCTGTGCAAGCCTGTCCGTCTGTGTGCGTCTGTCTTTACTTGCTTTATGTGAGTCTGGTTCCAGTCCTAAGTGGGTAACTCACACTCTGTTCTTCTGTCCTTGTCTCCCCTGCAGGTGTGCATCGTGCAGAAGAGGGACACAGAGAAGATGTACGCCATGAAGTACATGAACAAACAGCAGTGCATAGAGCGAGACGAGGTCCGAAACGTCTTTAGAGAGCTAGAGATCCTACAGGAAATTGAACATGTTTTTTTAGTAAACCTCTGGTGATTATCCTGTGTTTTTTTTCATTTTAAATACTGTTTGTATGTTTTGCATGCCACTGCTGGTACCCTGTGTGTGTGTGTGTGTGTGTGTGTGTGTGTGTGTGTGGGTGGGGGGGGGGGGGGGGGGGGGCGGCAGCAGCATGTGTGAATGCGAGCCCATTGCACCCCACATTTCTTAATTGTTGTACTGTAAAGTCAGAAGACCTCATATTTCCTTCCCAGGAGTATGATATCTGGGTGAAGTAGGGAACCAGTTTCATTATTTAACCATCTCCGTGTCTCTGCAGCACATATTCTAAATATAATTGGGCAGGTGGCACAATGTTCACAGCATATTACACCAAAGCACTTTACTCCTGTGTAATTGGTAGAATGATATTGCACATGGTGTTTATCTCCTCTGAGTAATTGATATAGGGAGCATCAATAATTTCATACACACCCTTTATTACATAAAGGATTTGAGCAGAGACATACACAAAGACTAAAGTGCACCCGCACTCACTGCCAATTATTACTGTAAGTCTTGTGTATGCATGTTTTTATTTTTTTCCAAAGTTGCCGATGATTAAAGTTTTAATAACACTGAAAAATAAAAAATAGTCTCCAAGAGAAGCTTCCTTCCAACTAAAATAAGCAGAGGGTTTTTTAATGAGCTGGTAGTAGTAGGGCCAGTGTATTTCTTTAATATTATAATTCCCTCAAGTAGTGTACATCTGCCAGCCCCATCCTTGTTCTAGTTTCTCTGCTTTGCTCTGCTTGGCACTGTATTTGTGCATCTATGCACATCAAAGCCCCATTAGCGACAAAGAAAGCAGACCGCAGCGGAATGGATAGGCGGGAATTATCGTGCTCCTTAGATTGCACCTCATCTTCCTGCGAATCAAATCAAATCAAATTTTATTGGTCACATGCGCCGAATACAACAGGTGCAGACATTACAGTGAAATGCTTACTTACAGCCCTTAACCAACAGTGCATATTTTTTTTTTTTTTAAGTTAAAAAATATTAAAAAAAAAAAAAAATGTTGAGAAAAAAAAGAGCAGAAGTAAAATAAAGTGACAGTAGGGAGGCTATATATACAGGGGGGTACCGTTGCAGAGTCAATGTGCGGGGGCACCGGCTAGTTGAGGTAATATGTACATGTGGGTAGAGTTAAAGTGACTATGCATAAATAATTAACAGAGTAGCAGCAGCGTAAAAAGGATGGGGTGGGGGGGGCAGTGCAAATAGTCCGGGTAGCCATGATTAGCTGTTCAGGAGTCTTATGGCTTGGGGGTAGAAGCTGTTGAGAAGTCTTTTGGACCTAGACTTGGCACTCCGGTACCGCTTGCCGTGCGGTAGCAGAGAGAACAGTCTATGACTAGGGTGGCTGGAGTCTTTGACAATTTTGAGGGCCTTCCTCTGACACCGCCTGGTATAGAGGTCCTGGATGGCAGGAAGCTTTGCCCCAGTGATGTACTGGGCCGTACGCACTACCCTCTGTAGTGCCTTGCGGTCGGAGGCCAAGCAGTTGCCATACCAGGCGGTGATGCAACCAGTCAGGATGCTCTCGATGGTGCAGCTGTAGAATTTTTTGAGGATCTGGGGACCCATGCCAAATCTTTTCAGTATCCTGAGGGGGAATAGGCTTTGTCGTGCCCTCTTCACGACTGTCTTGGTGTGATCCTTAGCTTAGTGATGAGCTTAGAGGGCACTATGGTGTTGAATGCTGAGCTGTAGTCAATGAATAGCATTCAAACGTAGGTGTTCCTCTTGTCCAGGTGGGAAAGGGCAGTGTGGAGTGCAATAGAGATTGCATCATCTGTGGATCTGTTGGGGCGGTATGCAAATTGGAGTGGGTCTAGGGTTTCTGGGATAATGCTGTTGATGTGAGCCATGACCAGCCTTTCAAAGCACTTCATGGCTACAGACGTCAGTGCTACGGGTCGGTAGTCATTTAGGCAGGTTATCTTAGAGGCCTTGGGCACGGGGACTATGGTGGTCTGCTTGAAACATGTTGGTATTACAGACTCAGTCAGATTCAAGACTACTTCAGAGGGAAATTGTGAAAGTGGGCAGCCCATCTCAAATTACACTGGAACAAAACAACAAGCACTCGTAGTCTCGTACAGCATCCCGAACAATACCCAAGACATTCCATCACTCTAATCCAGTATACGCTTTGGACGGTTCATAGAACGTTTGCGTTATTCTGTATCCCTTTGCTGGTGAATATCTTGTTTGGATAATTTCTCCTTTGTTTTGATTGCCTTTTCTAAAAGCATACGCGGACTGTCAAATCTGCATTACAAAGAGCATCAACGGATGGGGAGGTGATAGAGAGGCATGTCCACAAGCGGCTACCTGCCATCACCATCAAACTGACCAGATTGAGCAACAAAAGGGAGAAATGTGCCAAAATCCTCATGGTGACGGCCTGCCTGTCAGGCCACAGCACAGGAGGCTGCTGAGGGGAGAACGGCTCATAATAATGGCTGGAACAGAGAAAATGGAATAGCATCAAACACCTGGAAACCATGTGTTTGATGTATTTGTTACCATTCCACCAATTCCGCTCCAGTCATTACTATAAGCCCGTTCGCTCCAATTCAGGTGCCACCAACCTCCTGTGGGCCACAGATGTTCCTGTCTAGCGCCGTCACTGATAGATAAGTTTACTTTTCAAAACCCACGGACCCCAAACCTGAGCAGCTGTCGGTACTGTTTGTACAATAATATTGGCAAGCCTGGTCCCATGCCAAGCCACCAGAAAACGAACGGCAAAGAGTTTCTAAAATAACTTTACAGAGTGTATCAATCACGCTAGCCTCATTGTGTATCTTTCCTGCAGAGGCAGGCTCTCACTGGCCAGACTCCTTTTTTGGGTTGTTTTGGCCCTCCAGTGGCAGTTTTGGACTCTTAAAGGCTCTGCATGGTCAATCAGTGGCCGTACAGCATTTACTGCGATGCGGCCTCTGCAAAAGTGAGAACATTCATACTTCTTGCGCTTCAGGGAGCTGTCATATGCATCCAATAAATTGGTCTGCACTGCACCACTCGTAGTGATTCAGAGCTCATCTCTATAGCCATCCAGCTAATTACAAGCAACTGGCTAAACAAAAAGACAAGACCTTACCTCTTCTGAGATGTTGGAGTCCGTTTCCCGGGGCTTGACATAGCCCAGCCAAGATAGCATGAAGTAAAAAGACAGCACTGTTTTCCAACCTGCATCTCCATCCCAAATCTCCCCATTGCCCCTCAGCAAAATTAGCCTACATTTAGGCTACTGTTTATATGTGTATTTCCCACTATGTTGAGGTAAAAATGCTTGTATGGATGTCAACCCCAATACATGTTCATGTCACCGTCATCAATCAACTGCATTACAGTTAAAAACTACTTGGACTACCACCACCGATTTCTGTATGCTAACTATGCTACCAACTTATACGAATTGGAGTTAGCATTTAGCAGTCACTTTTTCTAAACCTAAAAAGGGACAACTTTTAAATGTTATGCAGCGAAAACAGCCGAATATACCCAAATCGGATTTTAGAAACTACATTGTGGGCCTGTTACAATAAATACATCACTCATGACGGATTTAACAAATATCCACTTTGTTCGATCAGATTTGTTGAACGTGCGCCAATCCAGTGTCCTTCTATCCCCCATTGACCTCTTTTACACATCTATCCCCATTACCTCCCCGATCCCGTTCTAGGAGTTCAAATTCATTTTTGTGTCTTTGAAATCCCTGCACGAGGTTTCATAAAGATGTTTTGTTGTCAAGGAAGTGAGTTTCTGTTTATACAGGATGTACCGCCCCCAACTACCGTCAAACATTAATGTCAATGCGGAGCCCTCCGCATTGTTACAACATTTGGGAGGTGAACGGCGATGCGGTACAGAGCTTGATTCGGCCTCCGGAGGCTTCACAATTGTCACACACTCTGTACGGAGCCTCCGGACCACAAGGGCAGATCAAGCATAAATTGGCTTTTACTAGGCATGTCTGAAGGGGACATCTGATGTCCCACTGAGCCTATCATGCTTGCTCTGTGAAAAATATCTTGAGAGAGTTCAGACTTTCCTCCTGAAGCCAGAGACATAAAGCGATTTGTTGTTTATTTTGCTTTGGGAATGGTTGTTTTTGTATATACAGTACCAGTCAAAAGTTAGGATATACCTACTCATTCAAGAGTTTTTCTTTATTTTTAATATTTTCTACATTGTATAGTAATAGTGAAGACATCAAACTATGAAATAACACATGGAATCATGTAGTAACCAAAAAAGTGTTAAACAAAGCAAAATATATTTAAAATTGTAGGTTCTTCAAAGTAGCCACCCTTTGCCTTGATGACAGCTTTGCACAGTCTTGGCATTCTCTCAACCAGCTTCATGAGGAATGCTTTTCCAACAGTCTGGAAGGAGTTCCCACATATGCTGAGCACTTGTTGGCTGCTTTTCCTTCACTCTGCGGTCCAACTCATCCCAAACCATCTCAATTGGGTTGACGTCGGGTGATTGTGGAGGCCAGGTCATCTGATGCAGCACTCCATAACTCTCCTTGGTCAAATAACCCTTACACAGCCTGGAGGTGTATTTTGGGTCCTGTTGAAAAACAAATGATAGTCCCACTAAGCGCAAACCAGATGGGATGGTGTATCGCTGCAGAATGCTGTGATAGCGCTGCTGGTTAAGTGTGCCTTGAATTCTAAATAAATCACAGACAGGGTCACCAGCAAAGCACCATCACACCTCCTCCTCCATGCTTCACAGTGGGAACCACACATGCGGAGATCATCCGTTCACCTACTCTCACAATGACACGGCGGTTGGAACCAAAAATCTCAAATTTGGATTTCCACCGGTCTAATGTCCATTGCTCGTGTTTCTTGGCCCAAGCAAGTCTCTTCTTCTTATTGGTGTCCTATAGTAGTGGTTTCTTTGCAGCAATTCGACCATGAAGGTCTGATTCACGCAGTCTCCTCTGAACAGTTGATGTTGAGATGTGTCTGTTACATGAACTCTGTGAAGCATGTATTTGGGCTGCAATTTCTGAGGCTGGTAACTCTAATGAACTTATCCTCTGCAGCAGAGGTAACTCTGGGTCTTCCTTTCCTGTGGTGGTCCTCATGAGAGCCAGTTTCATCATAGCGCTTTATGGTTTTTGCGACTGCACTTGAAGAAACGTTCAAAGTTCTTGAAATTTTCCGCATTGACTGACCTTCATGTCTTAAAGTAATGATGGACTGTCGTTTATCTTTGCTTATTTGAGCGTTTAACAAGGCACACCTGTTAATTGAAATGCATTCCAGGTGACTACCTCATGAAGCTGGTTGAGAGAATGCCAAGAGTGTGCAAAGCTGTCATCAAGGCAAAGGGTGGCTACTTTGAAGAATCTCAAATATAAAATATATTTTGATTTGTTGAACACTTATTTGGTTACTACATGATTCCATATGTGTTATTTCATAGTTTTGATGTCTTCACTATTATTCTACAATGTAGAAAATAGTAAAAATAAAGGAAAACCCTTGAATCAGTAGTTGTCCAAACTTTTGACTGGTACTGTAGGTCTACATTCACAGTGACTATTACTGCATTTTGTGCATAATAACATAACTTCCTGTTTAAATAGGAAACTCTCTTTCATTAACTTTTACTTGCTTTTAGTCAATCAGGTCATGAGGACTTCCTAATATGGATGCCGTACATGAGAATGAAGTTGAGCTATATTTGGTGATGCAATCTGCACAGTGTAATGATCAGGAGTTGAATTAGTACTGTGTGTGGGTATGCCGCTGCACATGATAATTCCCTGCTGACTTGCAGAACATTGGCAGTATCCATGGGCATGTCAAGTATTGGGTTTGAGCAATGACGTGTTCCATTATTGATGGACTGAAGATGGGCCAACCAGGAATTCTGGGAACTGCGGTGCCTATATTCCCCAAAGTAAATATCAGAGGATGCAACTCATGAGAACGCCAGTTTTTATTAAGATTAGTAGGAGTTGTTTTATTGATACAAAGCCAGAGAGAGGGAGCATTAGAGAAACAGCCATCATGGAAAGTAATGATTCCTGAAATCACAGCGAAGGCAAGGGAGAGAGAGGAAAGCAGAGGCGCGGGGTAAAAGGCATTGTGAAGAAGGAATTTGGGCATTGTTTTCTTTGTCAAAATAGAGTTTCACTGTTATTGGGTTTGCTTTCTTCTCTCTATCTCACACACACTGTTTTGAATCCTAAGTGTGCTTTCATTATGTCCTGGATTCTGCTGGTTTTCTTTGAAGAAGCTCCATCCATTGCTTCAGAGAACATTCATTGGAGGGAATCTGTAAAGCTAGGCACTGAATCCGCATCACTAGAACAAGACTGCTTCAGCCTGGAGGACTGTCAAGTTTGCTGCATGCAGTAATTGCCGTGGCCATTCACTTGCTGATGATAGATACCGTATGATGTGTAGGAGTGGGATATATTTAAATGGATTAGCCACCTTGAAAGTATTATCTATCTGCGGCACGCAAAAAATCCACCCAAAGCCCATAAGCCATCACAGCATAGGTAGGTGTAGATGCTTTCTTTTCCTCGATCAATTTGTATTTCTAAATTGGAGGTCATATTCCTCTACCCAGACGGACAGTATTACATGCAGTAAATGTATGCAGTGAAGTTGATCCCTTGCACTTTCCAGTGTTAATCATTACCAGAGCAAGGTTTTGTCTTAAGCATTACATTGCAACAAATTACTCTCAAACACCATTGGCCAGATTCCCCGGGGATGTGGATAGAGGCACTGAAAGCTGAACCAAGTGAGACGCCCAGCAACCATGTGGGGAAGTGAGGAAGAAGCGAAGCAAGAGGGAGTGAATGTGTCAGCGCTGAGCACTGGGATATTTGTTGTCTCTGTGAGCTACGGCTTTGGAGACACTTTTTAAGAGGGTTATAAGGTCTCACAAAGGGTGAGTCATCAGTGGGATCCGCTGAGCCGCAGTCGTCTTCCGCTGTCAATCCATCCTCTCGGAGAGAGAGAGAGAGAGCAGTCACTGTGGTGAGAATAGATGCACACCCTGTCCTCCTCGATGTCCATTAAGAATATTGATTCCCGGCTGAACAGAACAAAGCTCTGGTAGACTTTGAGATAAATTAGGCTTTACCCCAAACACAATAGTCATAACAAGCCCTGGGTGGCAGCCAGCGGCGGCTGTTGATTTGCTGAGTACCTGGGGCGCAAGATGGTGAGAGTCCTTTAGGTGCCTTTTGGCAAACTCCAAGCGGGCTGTCATGCCTTTTACTGAAGAGTGGCTTCCGTCTGGCCCACTCTACCAAAAAGCCCTGATTGGTGGAGTGCTGCAGAGATGGCTGTCCTTCTGGAAGGTTCTCCCATCTCCACAGAGGAACTCTGGAGCTCTATCAGTGACCATCGGGTTCTTGATCACCTCCATGCTATGTTTTCAAACTACCAGTAGTTTCTTTGAGAAGATACAGTGCATTCAGAAGATATTCAGACCCCTTAACATTTTCCACATTTTGTTACGTTACAGCCTTTTTCTAAAATTGATTAAATTATGTATTTTTTCTCATGAATCTACACACAATACCCCATAATGACAAAGTTTTTAGAAATGTTAGCAAATGTATTAAAAATTAAAAACAGACATACCTTATTTACATAAGTATTGAGAACCTTTGCTATGAGACTCGAAATTGAGCTCAGGTGCATCCTGTTTCCATTGATCATCCTTGAGATGTTTCTACAACTTGATTGGAATCCACCTGTGGTAAATTCAATTGATTGGACATGATTTGGAAAGGCACACACCTGTCTATTTAAGGTCCCACAGTTGACAGCGCATGTCAGAGCAAAAAACAAGACATGAGGTCTAAGGAATTGTCCGTAGAGCTCCGAGACAGGATTGTGTCGAGGCACAGATCTGGGGAAGGGTACCAAAACATTTTTGCAGCATTGATGATCCCCAAGAACACAGTGACCTCCATCATTCTTAAATGGAAGAAGTTTGGAACCACCAATACTCTTCCTAGAGCTGGCCACCCGGCCAAACTGAGAAATCGGGGGAGAGGGCCTTGGTCAGGGAGGTGACCAAGAACCCGATGATCACTCTGACAGAGCTCCAGAGTTCCTCTGTGGAGATGGGAGAACCTTCCAGAAGAACAGCCATCTCTGCAGCACTCCACCACTCAGGCCTTTTTGGTAGAGTGGGCCAGACGGAAGACACTCTTCAGTAAAAGGCATGACAGCCCGCTTGGAGTTTGCCAAAAGGCACCTAAAGGACTCTCAGACCATGAGAAACAAGATTATCTGGTCTGATGAAACCAAGATTGAACTCTTTGGCCTGAATGACAAGCGTCACGTCTGGAGGAAACCTGGGATCATCCCTAAGATGAAGCATGGTGGTGGCAGCATCATGCTGTGGGGATGTTTTTCAGCGGCAGAGACTGGGAGACTAGTCCAGGATTGAGGGAAAGATGAACAGAGCAAAGTACAGACAGATCCTTGATGAAAACCTGCTCCAGAGCGCTCAGGACCTCAGACTGTGGTAAAGGTTTACCTTCCAACAGGACAACGACCCTAAGCACACAGCCAAGACAATGCAGGAGTAGCTTCGGGACAAGTCTCTGAATGTCCTTGAGTGGCCCAGTCAGAGCCCGGACTTGAACCCGATCGAACATCTCTGGAGAGACCTGAAAATAGCTGTGCAGCGACGCTCCCCATCCAGCCTGACAGAGCTTGAGAGGATCTGCAGAGAAGAATGGGAGAAACTCCCCAAATACAGATGTGCCAAGCTTGTAGCGTCATACCCAAGAAGACTCGAAGCTGTAATCGCTTACAAAGGTGCTTCAACAAAGTACTGAGTACATTTGAATACATTTGCTAAAGTTTCTAAAAACCTGATTTTGGTTTGTCATTGTGGGGGATTGTGTGTAGATTGATGAGAAGGAAAAAAACAACAATTTAATCCATTTTGGAATAAAGCTGTAACGTAACAAAATGTGGGAAAAGTCAAGGGGTCTGAATACTTTCTGAATGCGCTGTATATAAAGCGACCTATGCATTTGAACAACAGCAGAAATACACTTTTGCATGTCAAAGACGAATGGCCACTGCTGCACATGCTGCTATTGTTTTCAACAGAATAGATTATACTATTTAGAACGAGCAGCCAGCTCACAAACGAATGAGTGCACCAGGGGAGAACCCAACAAACATCAAAAGAGAACCATCGCGCTCTCCCAGAAGCTTGGCTGGTGCGTAAAACCCATGAATTCAGATAAACAAAAAGATGTTGCATAATGCTTACTTAAATGTATTATTATTTTTTTTATCACTGCATCAGGGATAGCTTACACAGACGTTTCGGCTTTACAGCCTTCTTCAGTGTGTAGGTAAAACACATTTTTTCTTCAAAACAGCATTTTTAGAGAACAACCGATCAGCAGCAGGTGCTTCTAATCAGGGTTGCCACTCATCTGCCAATCAGGGATGTGGCTTTTCTGGTCTACATGTATACAAATTAGTCACCTCCGGTACCGCTTGCCGTGTGGTAGCAGAGAGAACAGTCTATGACTAGGGTGGCTGGAGTCTTTGACAATTTTTAGGGCCTTCCTCTGACACCGCCTGGTATAGAAGTCCTGGATGGCAGGAAGCTTGGCCCCAGTGATGTACTGGGCCGTACGCACTACCCTCTAGTGCCTTGCGGTCGGAGGCCGAGCAGTTGCCATACCAGGCAGTGATGCAACCAGTCAGGATGCTCTCGATGGTGCAGCTGTAGAACCTTTTGAGGATCTGAGGACCCATGCCAAATCTTTTCAGTCTCCTTAGGGGGAATACGTTTTGTCGTGCCCTCTTCACGACTGTCTTGGTGTGCTTGGGCCATGTTAGTTTGTTGGTGATGTGGACACCAAGGAACTTGAAGCTCTCAACCTGCTCCACTACAGCCCCGTCGATGAGAATGGGGGCGTGCTCGGTCCTCTTTTTCCTGTAGTCCACAATCATCTCCTTTGTCTTGATCACGTTGAGGGAGAGGTTCTTGTTCTGGCACCACACGGCCAGGTCTCTGACCTCCTCCCTATAGGCTGTCTCGTTGTTGTTGGTGATCAGTCCCACCACTTAATTTGTCATCGGCAAACTTAATGATGGTGTTGGAGTCGTGCCTGGCCATGCAGTCATGAGTAAACAGGGAGTACAGGAGGGGACTGACCACACACCCCTGAGGGGCCCCCGTGTTGAGGATCAGCGTGGCGGATGTGTTGTTACCTACCCTTACCACCTGGGGGCGGCCCGTCAGGAAGTCCAGTATCCAGTTGCAGAGGGAGGTGTTTAGTCCCAGGGTCCTTATCTTAGTGATGAGCTTTGAGGGCACTATGGTGTTGAACACTGAGCTGTAGTCAATGAATAGCATTCTCACATAGGTGTGCCTTTTGTCCAGGTGTGAAAGGGCAGTGTGGAGCGCAAGAGAGATTGCATTATCTGTGGATCTGTTTGGGCGGTATGCAAATTGGAGTGGGTCTAGGGTTTCTGGGATAATGTTGTAGATGTGTGCCATAACCAGCCTTTCAAAGCACTTCATGGCTACAGACGTGAGTGCTACGGGTCGGTAGTCATTTAGGCAGGTTACCTTAGTGTTCTTGGGCACAGGGACTATGGTGGGCTGCTTGAAACATGTTGGTATTACAGACTCAGACAGGGAGAGGTTGAAAATGTCAGTGAAGGCACTTGCCAGTTGGTCAGCGCATGCACGGAGTACACGTCCTGGTAATCCGTCTGGCCCTGCGTTCAAGGTGAGTAATCGCTGTTCTGATGTCCAGAAGCTCTTTTCGGTCATAAGATACGGTAGCAGCAACATTATGTACAGCTGGCTAATTTGATTAAGGTTTCTGATACACCAGGTTTTATGCTGTTTTAGTCCAAAAAACATGTCACCCTGTCAACTACAGTAGACCCTGATAAACAACATCGGGGGAGACAATAAAATGTTTTGTCTTACCAGATCAGCGATGAGAAGGGTCTAGCTAGTGTATCCCTCTGTCCTTTGACTCTTGTCTGGTTTATCAGGTCCCAGGCTCCTACTGTATGACTGTTATGATTATTATTTACAAGTTAATAAATAAATGTTTAGATTTAGCGCTATCTGTACCTGATAGAGCACATCTAGTCCCTCACAGGCGGAAGTAAACCGTCTGGTTCAAGAGACTCATTGGGAGGAGGAGACCAGAGCAGACCTAGAAGTTCTGACTGAACGGACGGACATTTGAGCGCCCCAGGCCAGTCCATTTAATTTGTACTGTTATAATTTATACTATGAAATCCTGCGATTTCATTGGGGCAGTTCCCCCTCATAGCAAATAGCTTGAAAAACTATTCAAGCAATGTTCGCCCGGCCTGTGTGCCCAATGGAGGCGGAGCTGCCATAGCTGACAGTCACTGAGGGGCACAGTAGTAAGTAACTAAACAGCTTGTTTTTAACAATATATTTTTGAAACAGGAAAATGTACACATTTACCACACTTTTATGAGCATTTAAAACATAATCCATATATATTTACATTTACGTCATTTAGCAGACGCTCTTATCCAGAGCGACTTACAAATTGGTGCATTCACCTTATGATAGCCAGTGGGAAAACCACTTTACAATTGATTTAATTTTTTTGTTTTATTTTGGTCTTTTGTAATCTTTTTTTTATTATTCTTCTTTTTTCGTTCTAAATGTTTATTTTATTATTTATGTTTTTTTATTGTATGTTTTTAATATATATATATATACTTGTTTTCATTTCTTTTTTGTGGGGGTGGGTTGGGGCAGGGGTAGAAGGATTACTTTTATACTATTCCAGGTATTCCTTAAAGAGGTAGGGTTTCAAGTGTCTCCGGAAGGTGGTCAGTGACTCCGCTGTCCTGGTGTCGTGAGGGAGCTTGTTCCACCATTGGGGTGCCAGAGCAGCAAACAGTTTTGACTGGGCCAAGCGGGAACTGTGCTTCCGCAGAGGTAGGGGGACACAATGAACACAATGCCCTCGTTTGGGTGTAGGGACTGATCAGAGCCTGAATGTAAGGAGGTGCCATTCCCCTCACAGCTCCGCAGGCAAGCACCATGGTCTTGTACCAGATGCAAGCTTCAACTGGAAGCCAGTGGAGTGTGCGGCGGAGCGGGGTGACGTGAGAGAACATGGGAGGTTGAACACCAGACGGGCTGCAGCGTTCTGGATAAGTTGCAGGGGTTTAATGGCACAGGCAGGGAGCCCAGCCAACAGCGAGTTGCAGTAATCCAGACGGGAGATGACAAGTGCCTGGATTAGGACCTGTGCCGCTTCTTGTGTAAGGTAGGGTCGTACTCTGCAAATGTTGTAGAGCATGAACCTACAGGATCGGGTCACCGCTTTGATGTTAGCGGAGAACGACAGGGTGTTGTCCAGGATCATGCCAAGGTTCTTTGCACTCTGGGAGGAGGACACAACGGAGTTGTCAACCGTGATGGCGAGATCATTGAGCGGGCAGTCCTTCCCCGGGAGGAAGAGCAGCTCCGTCTTGCCGAGGTTCAGCTTGAGGTGGTGATCCAAACATCCACACTGATATGTCTGCCAGACATGCAGAGACACGATTCGCCACCTGGTTATCAGAAGGGAGAAAGGAGAAGATTCATTGTGTGTTGTCTGCGTAACAATGATAGGAGAGACCATGTGAGCATATGACAGAGCCAAGTGACTTGGTGTATAGAGAGAATAGGAGAGGGCCTAGAACTGAGCCCTGGGGGACACCAGTGGTGAGAGCACGTGGTGCGGAGACAGATTCTCGCCACGCCACCTGGTAGGAGCGACCTGTCAGGTAGGACGCAATCCAAGAGTGAGCCGCGCCGGAGATGCCCAACTCGGAGAGGGTGGAGAGGAGGATCTGATGGTTCACAGTATCAAAGGCAGCAGATAGCTCTAGAAGGATGAGAGCAGAGGAGAGAGAGTTAGCTTTAGCAGTGCGGAGAGCCTCCGTGACACAGAGAAGAGCAGTCTCAGTTGAATGACCAGTCTTGAAACCTGACTGGTTTGGATCAAGAAGGTCATTCTGAGAGAGATAGCAGGAGAGTTGGCTATAGACGGCACGCTCAAGAGTTTTGGAGAGAAAAGAAAGAAGGGATACTGGTCTTTAGTTGTTGACATCGGAGGGATCGAGTGTAGGTTTTTTGAGGAGGGGTGCAACTCTCGATTTCTTGAAGATGGAAGGGACATAGCCAGCGGACAAGGATGAGTTGATGAGCGAGGTGAGGTAAGGGAGAAGGTCTCCGGAAATAGTCTGGAGAAGAGAGGAGGGGATAGGGTCAAGCGGGCAGGTTGTTGGGCGGCCGGCCGACACAAGTCGCAAGATTTCATCTGGAGAGAGAGGGGAGAATGAAGTCAAAGCATAGGGTAGGGCAGTGTGAGCCGGACCAGCGGTGTCATTTGACTTAATAAATGAGGATCGGATGTCATCAACCTTCTTTTCAAAATGATGGACAAAGTCATCCACAGAGAGGGAGGAGGAGGAGGATTCAGCAGGGAGGAGAAGGTGGCAAAGAGCTTCCTAGGGTTAGAGGCAGAGGCTTGAAATTTAGAGTGGTAGAAAGTGACTTTAGCAGCAGAAACGGAGGAAGAGAATGTAGAGAGGAGGGAGTGGAAAGATGACCGGTCCGCAGGGAGTCTAATTTTCCTCCATTTCTGCTCGGCTGCCCGGAGCGCTGTTCTGTGAGCTCGCAATGAATCGTCAAGCCACGGAGCAGGAGGGGAGGACCGAGCTGGCCGGGAGGATAGGGGACATAGAGAGTCAAAAGATTCAGTGAGGGAGGGTTGAGGAGGCAGAATCGGGAGATTGGAGGGAGAAGGATTTAGCAGAGGGAAGAGATGATAGGATGGAAGAGGAGAGAGTAGCGGGAGAGAGAGAGCGAAGGTTGCGACGGCACATTATCATCTGAGTAGGGGCAGAGTGAGTAGTGTTGGAGGTGAGCGAGAGAGAAAAGGATACGAAGTAGTGGTCGGAGACTTGGAGGGGAGTTGCAGTGAGATTAGTAGAAGAACAGCATCTAGTAAAGATGAGGTCAAGCGTATTGCCTGCCTGGTGTGTAGGGGGGGACGGTGTGAGGGTGAGGTCAAAAGAGGGAAGGAGTGGAAAGAAGGAGGCAGAGAGAAATGAGTCAAAGGCAGACGTAGGGAGGTTAAAGTCACCCAGAACTGTGAGGGGTGAGCCATCCTCAGGAAAGGAACTTATCAAGGCGTCAAGCTCATTGATGAACTCTCCAAGGGAACCTGGAGGGAGATAAATGACAAGGATGTTAAGCTTGAATGGGCTAGTGACTGTGACAGCATGGAATATATATATATATATAATATATATTTGTTGGGTAAATATCTTTTTTTGGGGGGGGAGGCCAATCACAAATGGGGTGCCACCCCTAACGCCCTAATTGGCGAACCACCGCTGGTGGCAGTTTAGGATGTGTTGGCATCCATAAAACTAACTGAAGGATATTTCCTCAGAGGGCTTAGTCCTTTTAGCTTTTGTCTTCCGCTGTTACAAACACATTTATTCTGCAGTCTGCTGTAGACATAGAACGTCACAGGAGTTAACGTCACAGTTACAGGACTCTGTAACTTTCCAAAGCCACCTCACCATTAGTGGTGTTCTGTTCTCTCTGCGACTTTAACTTTCCAGAGCCACCTTACCATTTTAAGTTCCTGCAGGACGTCCATCAGAATTGCACCTTGTGAAATAAGGCCAGTGGGGGTGGAGAGAGGGGTGTGCTGAAGGGACCAGAGGGGGTAACAGGGGGGGACTAGGCGGGGGACCTCAGGGCGAGAGGCAGCGCTCACTCATTCACTTCGTTGTTGGAGGGATCCTCAGAGGAGCCAGGTGTGTCTTGTGATCCAGCCAGCCTCAGACAAGCTGTCTCTCTCTCTATCACAAGACTATCTAGGCCACAGTCACAAAGCAGACCACATTCAGAGCCCAGTTTCTCTCTCTCATCCATTCTCTCTTCCTCTTTCGCTCTACTTCTGTCTCTCCCCATCTCACCCCCATCTCTCTTTCACTCTCTCTCCCCTGCATCCCTCTCTCTCTCACATTTGTCCTCTCCCTCTGCTTCCCTCAGCTCATTTTTCATCATGGCCTGATTATTTCAGCCTGTTTTTCAGACTTTTTCCAGCATGGTAACCTTCCTCTGTGCTCTGCTGTCCCAGTCAGTCTGGCCTGGCTGTTCCACATGGCCCATCTGCTCCTTGGCTCTGTCACAGCGCTCCCAAGGCTCAAGCCTTAGCCAGGTCCCCAATCAACTGTCTTGGGCATATTTGACCCATGACAAGTCCATTCTCAAACCGCTTCCTCATAACGTTCTCTTTCATAGTTTTTTGTCTGAACTTGAACTTCTGTAATATATTTGTCCATGGGAGAAGAGATAAAAGGAGACAGTTGAAGAACTCCATTGTGTCTGGTCCCACACATTATAATTTTCCTCTTTCACTAACTTGTATTAGTCCCATCCATTTGTGTTAGCTGCGTTCTTGGCCTCTCCTTGAACAATTTTTTACAGACATTGTGTGTGTGCTCTGATTTTTGAATACACATGCTGTATTTGGAAAAACATTAATCTGGAATGATCACTCTCACTTTTTCTCACTCTCTTTCTCTCGGTCCTTGGAAATGACAACGCTATCACTCTCCATGCTTTCATACGGCTCAGATGTCAGCTCCACGTCTGACAGTGTACCTGTCACTGAGTGAAGGAGATGTGGAAACTGCTCTAATCTCAGCCATGGAGACTCAGAACATGGGCTCTAATAACACTGGCATCACACTGGCTGCCACAGAGGGCCTTCACCATCAGTTGGATGCTGCTCGGGATCAGGAGATGACAAGGAGGTGATAATAGGGTGACAATAATAGGGACCTGTGGACAGCAAACACCATCTCAACCAATCTCAGCCTGGCCATCTGTTGATGCTGTGTGTGTTTGGAGTGGGGGACCGTCGTCTTGCACAGGTTAGGTTTGTTAGCTTGGTCTGATGATTTTCTATTGGACATGTCACCAGGCTGTCGACGGATGGATACTGCATGGGTTTGCTCTTGGTCTGAAGGAGATGAAAGGTCTTTGGTGGAAATCCTCCAATGTCATGCTGTTTTTGGCTTCAAGAGGCTGTACTTTACCCCTAGGCTATAGATGATATCACTGACTTACAATAACCTTATACAATGCGGATCACAGCAAGTCAGAAATTGTGTTTAGCATGGATCTCTGCCAATCCCTGCAAGTTATCCATAAGAACTTCTTCTGAACCAATGCTTCAGACAGAAATATTAAACAGAAATATTATGGAGAATATTCATTAAGGTAGTCATATTTTTAAAAAATCAGACAATTTTATCAATTGATCTGTGTTTTCCTTTTGACGTCAGGCAGATACACTACATGACCAAAGGTATGTGGACACCTGCTCGTCGAACATCTCATTCCAAAATCATGGGCATTAATATGGAGTTGGTCCCCGCTTTGCTGCTATAACAGCCTCCACTCTTCAGGGAAGGCTTTCCACTAGATGTTGGAACATTGCTGCGGGGACTTGCTTCCATTCAGCCACAAGCATTAGTGAGGTCGGCATTGATGTTGGGCGATTAGGCCTGGCTCGCAGTAGGCATTCCAATTCATCCCAAAGGTGTTCGATGGGGTTGAGGTCATGGCTCTGTGCAGGTCTAGTTCTTCCACACTGATCTCGACAAACCATTTCTGTATGGACCTCGCTTTGTGCACAGGGGTATTGTCATGCTGAAACAGAAAAGGGCCTTCCACAAACTGTTCCCCAAACTGTTCCCACAAAGTTGGAATCACCGAATCGTCTAGAATGTCATTGTATGCTGTAGCGTTAAGATTTCCCTTCACTGGAACTAAGGGGCCTAGCCGAACCATGAAAAACATCCCAGACCATTATTCCTCCTCCACCAAACTTTACAGTAGCACTATGCATTGGGGCAGGAAGCGTTCTTCCAGATTCGTCCGTCGGACTGCCAGATGGTAAAGCGTGATTCATCACTCCAGAGAACGTGTTTCCACTGCTCCAGAGTCCAATGGCAGTGAGCTTTACATCACTCCAGCGGACGCTTGGCATTGCTCATGTTGATCATAGGCTTGTGTGCGGCTGCTCGGCCATGGAAACCCATTTCATGAAGCTCCCGACGAACAGTTATTGTGCTGACGTTGCTTCCAGAGGCAGTTTGGAACTCGGTAGTGAGTGTTGCAACCGAGGACAGATTATTTTTACGCGCTTCAGCACTCAGAGGTCCCGTTCTGTGAGCTTGTGTGGCCTACCACTTTGCGGCTGAGCCGTTGTTGCTCCTTGACGTTTCCACTTCACAACAACAGCACATACAGTTGACCGGGGCAGCTCTAGCAGAGCAGACATTTTACGAACTGAGTTGTTGGAAATGTTGCATGTTATGACGGTGCTATGTTGAAAATCACTGAGCACTTCAGTAAGGTCATTCTACTGCCAATGTTTGTCTATGGAGAGTGCATGGCGGTGTGCTTGTTTTTATACACCTGTCAGCAACGGGTGTGGCTGAAATAGCCAAATCCACTAATTTGAATGGGTGTCCACATATTTTTGTATATATAGTGTTCTGTTGTGAACTGATGTCCCGGTGAGATGGGATGATTTTCGCTCACTCTGAACATGGCGCTCCATTTTTCGGATATAGAGAGCAGGAAATTGAGACTGGAGATGGCCAATCAAAATGCCCCCTGAGAGTGTGGGGCTAAGCCCGGAGAAATGGAGCTATATCAGGAAATCTGCCAAGATTAAAAATAAATAATAAGGCTGCAATAGCCTACCAGGATATTAACCTGGGTTTAATACAGGAAATCACAAGGGGGTGAGTTGTTTTCTACCTTGATGGATTGAGAGCCTCCGGAAAGCCTCTCTCCTCTCTCGCTCTCGCTCTCTCTCGCTTTCTTTCTCTTGCTCTCTCTATCTCTCTCTTTCTTTCTCATGATTACTGAAAGATGATTGTGGGTTTCTGCCGTTTTGTGTTGTTTATGTACTGTGTGGTTTGGATTGGATTTATATTGTACAAGGCTTGGTGTTTAGTAGACATCTGTGGAGAGATGGTGTAGTAGTGTCACAAATCCCACCGAGATCATTATGTGGACGTGTTTCACTGTGATGTGCTTGATTAGTAATCCTGATTGACAAGGATCTTTAGCCATCCACCAGTCATTTTCAATTAAGAGACATCAATCAAAGGCTGGCTCTGTTCTTGCCTTAATTTGGCAGTCACTCTCCTGCATTTACTCCAACAAATGGCAGCTCATTAAGATCATGATCAATCTCAAAGTAATGGCTCCCACTGTGCTTGTTTTGAGCTTACAAGTGAATACACACTCACACGAACTCCTGCATACATTAACACATTATAGGCTATTCATCTATGCCGGCAATCTCCAAGCCTGTTCCTGCAGAGCTACCCTTCTGTAGGTTTCTATCCAACCCCAGTTGTAGCTAACCGGATTCAGCTTATCAACCAGCTAATTATTGAAATAATGTGCACTAGATTAGGGTTGAAGCGAAAATCTACAGGACGGTAGCTCTCCAGAAACAGGGGTTGAGAGCCCTGATCTATGCACAGTCCTGCACACACACGTAGTTCCACACATGCATAGTGAGTTCTACTGTGTTTTATTGTTGTGTGTTTTTGTGGGTAGTAGATGCAGGGTTATGCAGGATGCATGTGGTCAGCATGTTGTCTTGCGCCTGTGTGTTTCTGGATTTTGTTCCCGTGTGTCTGTGTGTGCGTGTGTGTGTTTCTCAATCCTGAGTGTCTGTGTGTATGAGTCTGTGTCCTGGCCCTAGCAGGATGTTCACTGAGCCTTCTGACCTCTGACCCCTGCCTTGTGTCCCAGGTACTCGTTCCAGGACGAGGAGGACATGTTCATGGTGGTGGATCTGCTGCTGGGAGGAGACCTGCGCTACCACCTCCAACAGAATGTCAATTTCAACGAGGACGCTGTCAAACTCTACCTGTGTGAGATGACCCTGGCACTGGACTACCTGCAGAGCCAGCACATCATCCACAGGTATGGACATTATCCATAGACACAGCATCCACTGCACTGGTATGAGATGCAACAGGGGTTGGCAACAGGTGGAAAAAGTGATTTATTTTGCCCCCAAAAGCTTTTAGTAAAAAAATATATATATATTTTGGGAGGGGTGGGTTTAGTTTTTGGTCAAAAAAAGACTGTAAAATCCCCAGGAATTCAGTGTTTAATTTAGGAAATCTGTTCTCAAGTATTCCCACAAATACAAAAAGAGACATAAGTGATCGTGACTCCATGTAATCAAGGTATGAAATTATTGTTATTGTCAAATACAAGCATTTTGGGGTTAGTTTTGTTCAATTTGCAGTGTACAAATTATTATAATCAGTTATTTTCCTGCCCCCCAACCATTCGCTCTGACAAAAATTGTCCCGCAGCTGAATCTACTTGACTACCACTGGGAAACACTATAAACACATCATACACAGTATCGGCTACAATAATGAATTATTAAATTAATTTATTTGACTAAAATATGTTAATGACACTAACTTGACTTTGTCCATAGAGTTGCCAACAAAAATACACATGATACATACACACCATTCACTAGTTCACAATAACACTTTCCTTATATTAGCTCAAGGTAAGTTGTAATTTTTTTGTATTCTAGGTTTTGTTCACTCTGCTTGCAGCATAAACACTTCATGAAGACAATGATTTGTTCTTGTCATGGCAGAACGTTGCACAAAAAAATTATAATAAAAAGAATGTATCCATGTCTTCACTCTAACATTACCTTGTCCAATGTAGCGTATAATACACAGAATTAATTGTTTTTTCTATCAAATCGATGAAAATAGCACAGGCCACACATCACACAGTGTGTCCTTGCTTTCGTAATAGAGTTAAATCCAAATTTCAGGTTAAAAGGATTAGTTAGGTTTAGACCTTTCAGTTATATGGTTCTTACCCTGACAGTAATCTATGGGCCAGGAGAGACTGTAATCCACTGTTCGGATTTCTATAAACAGCCACTACTAACTTCAGCTCATTTTAGCCACCGCTAACCAAAACTGGGTCTGGGTCTCCTGGTCCTCCTTTAGAGCTCAAACACATTGCAATGGCGAACGGTTAACTGCAGGACCTCGCTATCCCCCTTACTACGCCAATGAGCAGCCATTTCGACTGCAACATGCTAACAGTCTAATAAATAAATGTAATATATGCTATCGGAAAAATTATCTTTTGGTTGTGTTTATGAAGGTCTTGATAACATTAGAATATGAGAAAAAATGTATTTCCAAGAACACAATAGCAATTTCATTAGTTTATGTTACTGAAGGTGATCTGTAGGTGAGGCTATAAACAAGCAGGAAACCATGCATCATTACGTGATGCCCAACTTCCATCAACATGTCACCTTCGCCACTAGGGGCAATAAAGTCCTAAACCACTGTTACTCTACCCACAAGCAAGCATACAAGGCCCTCCCTCGTCGCCCCTTCGGCCAATCAGATCATTATTCTATACTCTTGCTTCCTGTCTACAAGCAGAAGCTCAAACAGGAAGTACCCGTTACTCGCTCCGTAGAGAAATGGTCCTCCGAATCAGAGGCTATGCTACAGGACTGCTTTGCTAGCGCTGACTGGAATATGTTCCGGGACTCCCCCGATAGCATTAACGAGCTAACCACCTCCGTCACCGGCTTCATTAGGAAATGCATCTCCGACGTTGTCCCCACAATGAAGTTTCGCAGCTTCCCCAATCAAAAGCCCTGGATTAACACTGAGGTTGGCACTAAGATAACAGAACAGGCTTACCGCACACAGGGCTATCACTGCCAACCCCCGAGGCTACGGCTGAGGACAAAACAAGTTCAAGAAGTCCTGCTACGACCTCTGCAGAGGCTTCAAACTAGCAAAAGGACAATAGGTGGAATCCTATTATACAGGCTCTGACATCACTGCCGCTACGCTGACCCTCAACACGGGGGACCCACAGGGGTGTGTGCTTAGTCCCCTCTTGTACTCTGTGTTTACCCACGATGCGTAGCCACGCACGACTCCAACACCATCATCAAGTTTGCTGAAGAAGCGACGGTGGTAGGCCTGATCACTGGCAATGATGACAGCTTACAGGGAAGAGATCTGTGACCTGGCAGTGTGGTGCCAGGATAACAACCTCTCCCTCAACATCAGTAAGACCAAGGAGCTGATCGTGGACTACAGGAAACAGGGAGGCGAGCACGCCCCCATCCACATCGACGGGGCTGTACTGGAGCGGGTCGAGAGCTTTAAGTTCAGGTCTCCAAATCACTAAGGACTTAAAATGGTCCACTCACACACACAGTTGTAAAGAAGGTGCGACAGCGCCTCATCATCCTCAGGAGGGTGAAAAGATTTGGCATGGGCCCTCAGATCCTCAAAAAGTTATACAACTGTACCATTGAGAGCATCTTGACTGGCTGCATCACTGCTTGGTATGTCAACTGCACCACCCTCGATTGCATGGCACTAGAGAGGGTGGTGCGGACAGCCCAGTACATTGGCTTGCGAAAGTATTCACCCCCCTTGGCTTCTTTCCTATTTTGTTGCCTTACAACCTGGAATTAAAATGGATTTTTTGGGGGTTCATATCATTTGATTTACACAACATGCCTACCACTTTGAAGTTGCAAAATAAAATAAAATCTCTGGAAGACTGAAACTGGTTTCCCTCTAGAATTTCCCTGTATTTATCGCCATCCATCATTCCTTCAATTCTGACCAGTTTCCCAGTCCCTGCCAATGAAAAACATCCCCACAACATGATGCTGCCACCACCATGCTTCACTGTGGGGATGGTGTTCTCGGGGTGATGAGAGGTGTTAGGTTTGCACCAGACATAGCGTTTTCCTTGATGCCCAAAAAGCTCAATTTTAGTCTCATCTGACCAGAGTACCTTCTTCCCTATGTTTGGGGAGTCTCCCACATGTCTTTTGGCGAACACCAAACGTGTCTGCTTATTTTTTTCTTTAAGAAATTGCTTTTTTTCTGGCCACTCTTCCATAAAGCCCAGCTCTGTGGAGTGTACGGCTTAAAGTGGTCCTATGGACATACTCCAATCTCCGCTGTGGATCTTTGCAGCTCCTTCAGGGTTATCTTTGGTCTCTTTGTTGCCTCTCTGATTAATGCCCTCCTTGCCTGGTCCGTCAGTTTTGGTGGGCGGCCCTCTCTTGGCAGGTTTGTTGTGGTGTCACATTCTTTCCATTTTTTAATGATGGATTTAATGGTGCTCCGTGGGATGTTCAAAGTTTCTGATATTTTTTTATAACCCAACCCTGATCTGTACTTCTCCACAACTTTGTCCCTGACCTGTTTGGAGAGCTCCTTGGTCTTCATGGTGCCGCTTGCTTGATGGTGCCCCTTGCTTAGTGGTGTTGCAGACTCTGGGGCCTTTCAGAACAGGTGTATACAGTGGGGGGGAAAAAGTATTTAGTCAGCCACCAATTGTGCAAGTTCTCCCACTTAAAAAGATGAGAGAGGCCTGTAATTTTCATCATAGGTACACGTCAACTATGACAGACAAAATGAGGAAAAAATATCCAGAAAATCACATTGTAGGATTTTTAATGAATTTATTTGCAAATTATGGTGGAAAATAAGTATTTGGTCAATAACAAAAGTTTCTCAATACTTTGTTATATACCCTTTGTTGGCAATGACACAGGTCAAACGTTTTCTGTAAGTCTTCACAAGGTTTTCACACACTGTTGCTGGTATTTTGGCCCATTCCTCCATGCAGATCTCCTCTAGAGCAGTGATGTTTTGGGGCTGTCGCTGGGCAACACGGACTTTCAACTCCCTCCAAAGATTTTCTATGGGGTTGAGATCTGGAGACTGGCTAGGCCACTCCAGGACCTTGAAATGCTTCTTACGAAGCCACTCCTTCGTTGCCCGGGCTGTGTGTTTGGGATCATTGTCATGCTGAAAGACCCAGCCACGTTTCATCTTCAATGCCCTTGCTGATGGAAGGAGGTTTTCACTCAAAATCTCACGATACATGGCCCCATTCATTCTTTCCTTTACACGGATCAGTCGTCCTGGTCCCTTTGCAGAAAAACAGCCCCAAAGCATGATGTTTCCACCCCCATGCTTCACAGTAGGTATGGTGTTCTTTGGATGCAACTCAGCATTCTTTGTCCTCCAAACACAACGAGTTGAGTTTTTACCAAAAAGTTATATTTTGGTTTCATCTGACCATATGACATTCTCCCAATCCTCTTCTGGATCATCCAAATGCACTCTAGCAAACTTCAGACGGGCCTGGACATGTACTGGCTTAAGCAGGGGGACACGTCTGCCACTGCAGGATTTGAGTCCCTGGCGGCGTAGTGTGTTACTGATGGTAGGCTTTGTTACTTTGGTCCCAGCTCTCTGCAGGTCATTCACTAGGTCCCCCCGTGTGGTTCTGGGATTTTTGCTCACCGTTCTTGTGATCATTTTGACCCCACGGGGTGAGATCTTGCGTGGAGCCCCAGATCGAGGGAGATTATCAGTGGTCTTGTATGTCTTCCATTTCCTAATAATTGCTCCCACAGTTGATTTCTTCAAACCAAGCTGCTTACCTATTGCAGATTCAGTCTTCCCAGCCTGGTGCAGGTCTACAATTTTGTTTCTGGTGTCATTTGACAGCTCTTTGGTCTTGGCCATAGTGGAGTTTGGAGTGTGACTGTTTGAGGTTGTGGACAGGTGTCTTTTATACTGATAACAAGTTCAAACAGGTGCCATTAATACAGGTAACGAGTGGAGGGCAGAGGAGCCTCTTAAAGAAGAAGTTACAGGTCTGTGAGAGCCAGAAATATTGCTTGTTTGTAGATGACCAAATACTTATTTTCCACCATAATTTGCAAATAAATTCATTACAAATCCTACAATGTGATTTTCTGGATTTCTTTTTCTCAATTTGTCTGTCATAGTTGACGTGTACCTATGATGAAAATTACAGGCCTCTGTCATCTTTTTAAGTGGGAGAACTTGCACAATTGGTGGCTGACTAAATACTTTTTTCCCCCACTGTATATACTGAGATCATGTAACACTTAGATTGCACACAGGTGGACTTTATTTAACTAATTATGTGACTTCTGAAGGTAATTGGTTGCACCAGATCTTATTTAGGGGCTTCATAGCAAAAGGGGTGAATACATATGCACGCACCACTTTTCCGTAATTTATTTTTTCGAATTCTTTGAAACAAGTAATTTTTTTCATTTCACTTCACCAATTACGACTATTTTGTGTATGTCCATTACTTTAAATCCAAATAAAATATATTTAAATTACAGGTTGTAATGCAACAAAATAGGAGAAACACCAAGGGGGATGAATACCTTTGCAAGGCACTGTAGATCACGGAGCTGAGCTCCCTGCCATCCAGGACCTCTATATCAGGCAGTGTGAAAGGAAGGCCTGGAAAATTGTTAAAGACTCCAGCCACCCAAGCCCATAGACTGTTCTCTCGGCTTCCGCACGACAAGCAGTACCGGAGCAACAAGTCTGACACCAACAGGCGCCTGAACAGCTTCTATCCCCAAGCCATAAGAATGCTAAATAGCTAACAGAATTGCTACATGGATTATCTGCAGTGACCGTTTTATTTTATTTTTGCACTTACTCTATGCACTCACAGGACTCTACACACACTCACACTGACACTCCAACACACACACACACACACACACACACACACACTTAATTTGCTCACACACACACATTCATACTGACTCTACACACACACACACACACACACTCACATACAATCATCAAATACGCTGCTGCTACGCATATCCTGATGCCTAGTCAACTTTCCCCCTTTTACGTATCTACCCCTAAAACACTCCAGTATCCCTGTACATTGTAAATATGGCACTGACCCTGGAACTGACCTTGTACTGTATATAGCTTACTTACTTTCTCGTGTTCTTATTTTTATTCCCCGTTTTGTTTTTTATTTATTTTTGTTTGTGATATAAAAATTATTACAACGTGTGTTAAATAGACTTATTTAGCAAAAGTCAAGTATAGAGGGGGGCATGACTTAAACAATTGTAGAGATATTGACATTTTAAATTAATGTGCAGTCAAAATGACTGCCTCGATGCTTCTAGTGTAAAAAGCAGAGGGTGACCTTCCTATCGCTCTGACCAGAATATCAGCTGTCATTTTCTGGTCATTTTCGGATCTTTTCCTGACGATTCTGAAACAGTGCAAACAGCCACCGTTTGCCAACACCCAGCAGGGGATCGCTATAACACACAGCAACCACCTGCTGCTTTTAGCTGTTTGTACCTCCCTACTACTCCTATCCTGGGTGCCACGTCTTAGACTCCTGGCCCTCCCTCTTCTACTCCCTGTTTCAGAGACAGACATCCCCTCACCTCCATGTCCGAAAGGAGATGAATTGCCTGTGTTAAGGTGTGTAATGATTCATCATCATCCTTTTCTCATCTGTCTTGAGTGTCCCCGGGCAGAGTGGGGAGTCCTGCATCACTATGTTCACTCTCCCAGCTCTGACACCTAATGTGTGGCCTGATGGCTACAGGAGGTACTCACCTCACTGAAGTACTGGAAAACTGTGTACTGTGGTCCTCTGTAGCTCAATTGGTAAAGCATGGCGCTTGTAACGCCAGGGTAGTGGGTTCGATCCCCGGGACCACCCATACGTAAAAATGTATGCGCACATGACTGTAAGTCGCTTTGGATAAATGCGTCTGCTAAATGGCATATTATTATTATTATTATTATTATTATTATTATTATTATATTATAAAACCACTGCACTGGGTCTAATGATGTAGGCTCCAATATGTGGGCTCATTGGAAGAAAAGCCACAGCTTTGAATTCACTAGTATATCACTGGGCAGTGGTGTAGTTGTTTGTCTGCTTGTTAAGAATCCGAGTTTTCTCCATCGGATGGCTTTAGTAGCCTATATGTTTGTCCAACAGTCTGTTGTTTGCTGAACAGTATACTTTCTGTAAGCACCTGGGCATTCCCTTTTTAATTTTGGCTTATTTTGCATATCTAAGCATAGGCCTGGTATTTATATTGCTGTAATTGTTACACTCAATCTTCTTCAGCGTGGTATGACTTGCAGTTGTGAGCTTTTGTTGAAAGTGCTGAGCACAGTGGAAAGTGTTGGTGCTGTAAATTTAAAGTGTTTAGGTCCCTGTAGACCACAAACTCCACTCAAAATGTTTTAACCATTTGACCTCAATGTTTTAACCTTTACTCCAAAGTTCGTTTTAGCAAATTGCTCCTCTAAAGTGCAAATAATTATATAATTGTGCGTGCGTACTGGTGAGCGTGTTTTTGTGTTTGTGCCGTTGAGCGCACACTAACACACAATCACATATAGTGCCTTCAGAAAGTATTCACACCCCTTGACTTTTTCCACATGTTGTTGTGTTACAGCCTGAATTTAAAATGGATTCAATTTAGATGTTTTTTGTCACTGGCCTACACACACTACCCAATAATGTTAAAGTGGAATTATGTTTTTCTAAATGTTTACAAATGAATTAAACATGAAAAGCTGAAATGTCTTGAGTGAATAAGTCTTCAACCCCTTGCTATGGCAATCCTAAATAAGTTCAGGAGTAGAAATGTGCTCATGAAGTCACATAATAAGTTGCATGGACTCACTAAAAATAGTGTTTAACATGATTTTTGAATGACTACCTCATCTCTGTACCCAATGGGGACTTTAAAACAGTTACAGAGTTTAATGGCTGTGATAGGAGAAAACTGAGGATGGATCAACAACATTGTAGTTACTCCACAATACTAACCTAATTGACAGAGTGAAAAGAAGGAAGCCTGTACAGAATAAAAATATTCCAAAACATGCATCCTGTTTGCAATAAGGCGCTAAAGTAAAAATGCAAAGAATGTGGCAAAGAAATTAACTTTAATGTCTGTCACGCCCTGGCTCTGGGACTCTGTTATGTTGAGCCAGGGTGTGGTGTTTCTATGTGTTTTGTGTGCTAGGGTTATATTCTAGTTCATTTGTTTCTATGTTGGCCGGTGTGGTTCTCAATCAGAGGCAACGTGTATCAGCTGTTGCTTGTTGTCTCTGATTGGGGTACCATACTTAGGCAGCCTGTTTTCCAGTGTGTTGTGGGATCTTGTTCCGTGTTTGGTTAGTGTCTTTTGCCAAGGACGTCACGTATCGTTTTGTTGTTTTGTTCGTGTGATCATCTAATAAATAAGTATGTTCACTCATCACGCTGCGCATTGGTCCACTTCCTCCAGCGATCGTGACAATGTCCAACACATCACTGAGTACCACTCTTCATATGTTCAAGCATGATGGTGGCTGCATCATGTTATGGGTATGCTTGTCATTAGCAAAGACTAGGGAGTTTTTTTAAATCATAAAAATAAACGGAATTGAGCTAAGCACAGGCAAAATCCTAGAGGAAAACCTGGCACAGTCTGCTTTCCAACAGACACTGGAAGACAAATTCTTCACCTTTCAGCAGGACAATAACCTAAAACATAAGGCCAAATATACACTGGAGTTGCATACGAAGATGACATTGAATGTTTCTGAGAGACCAAGTTCCAGTTTTTACTTAAATCGGCTTGAAATCTATGGAAAGACTTGAAAATGGCTGTCTAGCAATGATCAACAACCAACTTGACAGAGCTTGAAGAATTTTTTTAATAATAATGTGCAAATATTGTACAATCCAGGTGTGCAAAGCTCAGAGGCTTACCCAGAAAGACTCACAGCTGTATTCGCTGCCAAAAGTGATTCTAACATGTATTGACTCAGGTGATTGAATACTTATCTAATGAAGATATATTAGTGTTTTTTTTTTTGTTTTGTTTTTTTACAAATGTTTAAAAAATTCTTACACTTTGACATTACAGATTATTTTGTGTAGTTGACAAAAAAATACAATTAAACCCATTTCATCCCACTTTGTAACACAACAAAATGTGTAAAAAGTTAGAGGGTGTGAATACTTTCTGAAGGCACTGTAGTTCCAACTAGATGAACACACACTTGTCCTTAACTCAACAGTAAAACATTTTTTTTAAATCACCCTGTCAACTTGATAAATGTGCTTCACCATTATTTAAATACCAATTAAGTTAGTTGGAAAAAGATTCAGGGAGTTTGCCCAAGTCTCAGTTTTTTTTCTCATCCTGGCATCAACCCTTCTGACTCTGACAAAATTGTGTCTGCTGGAGGAGGCCTAATCCAATCCCTGGGTATCTGTATCTCCTGCTCTGCAATTTGGTTCCACGCTGTGGGTTTGTGACAGGAGAATACTATTATTTTGTTGTACCAAATGGGGGAAGAAGTGTCTCTTAGCAACAGTCTGCTGCTGCCATGATGCCTGAGGAAGGTAGAATTAGTCTTAGCGAAAAGTCTCCAAAGAACGCGAAAATGGCCCCCTTCTTTTCTTCTGTACCAGAGAAAAACTAAAAGGTTGAACATTTACAGTGGGGGAAAAAAGTATTTAGTCAGCCACCAATTGTGCAAGTTCTCCCACTTAAAAAGATGAGAGGCCTGTAATTTTCATCATAGGTACACATGAACTATGACAGACAAAATGAGAGAGAAAAAAATCCAGAAAATCACATTGTAGGATTTTTAATGAATTTATTTGCAAATTATGGTGGAAAATAAGTATTTGGTCAATAACAAAAGTTTCTCAATACTTTGTTATATACCCTTTGTTGGAAATGACACAGGTCAAACGTTTTCTGTAAGTCTTCACAAGGTTTTCACACACTGTTGCTGGTATTTTGGCCCATTCCTCCATGCAGATCTCCTCTAGAGCAGTGATGTTTTGGGGCTGTCGCTGGGCAACACAGACTTTAAACTCCCTCCAAAGATTTTCTATGGGGTTGAGATCTGGAGACTGGCTAGGCCACTCCAGGACCTTGAAATGCTTCTTACGAAGCCACTCCTTCGTTGCCCGGGCGGTGTGTTTGGGATCATTGTCATGCTGAAAGACCCAGCCACGTTTCATCTTCAATGCCCTTGCTGATGGAAGGAGGTTTTCACTCAAAATCTCACAATACATGGCCCCATTCATTCTTTCCTTTACACGGATCAGTCGTCCTAGTCCCTTTGCAGAAAAACAGCCCCAAAGCATGATGTTTCCACCCCCATGCTTCACAGTAGGTATGGTGTTCTTTGGATGCAACTCAGCATTCTTTGTCCTCCAAACACGACGAGTTGAGTTTTTACCAAAAAGTTCTATTTTGGTTTCATCTGACCATATGACATTCTCCCAATCCTCTTCTGGATCATCCAAATGCACTCTAGCAAACTTCAGACGGGCCTGGACATGTACTGGCTTAAGCAGGGGGACACGTCCTGCCACTGCAGGATTTGAGTCCCTGGCGGCGTAGTGTGTTACTGATGGTAGGCTTTGTTACTTTGGTCCCAGCTCTCTGCAGGTCATTCACTAGGTCCCCCCGTGTGGTTCTGGGATTTTTGCTCACCGTTCTTGTGATCATTTTGACCCCACGGGGTGAGATCTTGCGTGGAGCCCCAGATCGAGGGAGATTATCAGTGGTTTTGTATGTCTTCCATTTCCTAATAATTGCTCCCACAGTTGATTTCTTCAAACCAAGCTGCTTACCTATTGCAGATTCAGTCTTCCCAGCCTGGTGCAGGTCTACAATTTTGTTTCTGGTGTCCTTTGACAGCTCTTTGGTCTTGGCCATAGTGGAGTTTGGAGTGTGACTGTTTGAGGTTGTGGACAGGTGTTTTTTATACTGATAACAAGTTCAAACAGGTGCCATTAATACAGGTTACGAGTGGAGGACAGAGTAGCCTCTTAAAGAAGAAGTTACAGGTCTGTGAGAGCCAGAAATCTTGCTTGTTTGTAGGTGACCAAATACTTATTTTCCAGTGAAGGCCTTTGAGGTGGAATTCCACCTCAGACTTGTCTGTCGTCTGCTGCTGGAGTTTCCATTCCATACTTAGGAAACCTGTTTGACTGCATTGCTAGTCACGTCAAAGAAGAAGTGTGTTCAATGAGCAATGCTCTGCATGGTTTTACACATCAAATAACCATGGTGGCAGTATGGCGGGGTGGCAGAGGGTTTCATATTGGCACGTGAATTGAATACATTTCCTTTAAACCTCTTGAGAAATACACCAGTTAACATAGATATTTACTTTTATGGTATAGTATAGCCTCCCCAATGGGCACAGACGTCAATTCAACGTTTATTCCACGTTAGCTCAACGTCAATTCATTTTTTTCATTGAAATGACTTGGAAACAACATTGATTCAACCAGTGTGTGCCCAGTGGGTCAGTGCTAACAGGAATGTTACTTTATTGAAGTGTATGAGCTGATTTTGCATCAAATAACCACTGTGGCGGTATAGAGACTTATTGGAGTTCCTCCTGTACATTTCCATTGAAATCTCTTGAGAAATACACCAGTTAACATAGCGACTTACTTCTTGGTATAGCATAGCCTTAGTGCACACAAAACTATTTATGTTAGTGTAGTGTATGAGACTCTCTGTGGACTAAATGTATTATTCACACTAGCGTGACAGGCTGCATAATTAAATAAGCGGGGTGGGCTCTGTTAATTGGCTGTGGGCTTGGAGGGGGCTGTACATGTGGGTTAACCCCAAGGTGTTGTTGTTTGTGTTGGTCTCCACTGCATTGGTGCCCCACATAAAAAGCATGTGTGGAGAAAACCTGGGAGTGCCTCCCTGGCATTGGGATTGGAAATGGCCATGTTCCCAACGTTCCCATTCATCCATGTCCAATATAGTGGTTTAGGGATCAGTACATGGGCACACAGTCACATACGTAATACACACACACATTTTTGCGTCCCTTTGATATTTTAACTAGAAATTGTGCACCAATATTGAATTTTAAAAGCCTGTTAGATTAAATGCATTGCCCTGGCTTTAATATAAACAACATGGAACATTTTATGAATGTGATTTTTTTATATGAATAAAGAAATGTCCCACATCACAGTTTTTCTAACTTCTAGGAACATTTAACCCCAAAATGTCCCAAAGTTTTCACCATTGTAAAGCCCTAGTTATTTTGTTCCTTTGACAAAGTCATTTCTGAAGATAATTATTTATTTCATGTGATTAGTGGTTAATTTACGTTTGTCCCTCATTTTAAGGTCAACCCTGTTACATGAACTGAACTATAATTTGAATATGGTGAAACTATTCCTTTTAAAATATTTTTTTCTAAAGAAACATTGAACATTCAAATCATAGTGTAAAAGAAGGTGAGTATTTTATGGTGTTTTGTGGTAGAAAACTGAGAGCGTCGAACATAACTATGTTACCCATAGTAGCTTGCATTCAGTTGCCCCTCCCTGCTACACAAGACATGCTTCCATTCCCCCTGTCACACGGGGCGCTATGGCTGATTTAAAATGAAGTCATCAATGGTCAACCTTGTGGCTTTTAATTGGCAATTTTCCTGTTACATTTTTCTTAATTTGACCTCTTTTTTTATGGGAAAAATGTTTTTTATATTAAGTGGAACATGCGCTCTTTAAGACAGAATAGAAACATTTGGTGAAATAAAATGTTTTTCTTAACAGTATTACACTACCCAAAAGGACCTATTTTTGTGGAATGACCCAGGTAACACCTACAAGCTTTAATGTACAGATACACTTGCACACACACGTAACACATACAGCTACCCATTCTCTCCACACACGTGCAAGCACATGCACGTGCAAACTCAGAATCACACATTCTGTGGCACAGGCTTTATATTGACTACATGTACAGATTTACTTTAATAGTTCCATATTCTTAGACAATGATTTCTGTGTTTCTCTCTCTTTCTGTCTCACAGGGATATCAAACCAGACAACATCTTGTTAGATGAGCAAGGTGAGGATGCCTCTTCTTAGAGATGACTTTATCCTGTACTCATTAGATGTTTGCGACATGTGTGCATGTTTTACCTTTGTCACATACTTTATGTAGGCACGTGTAGGCCATTCGAGTGACATTGTTGTTAATGTGCGTGTGTACAGTATTTGTGATAGAGAAGGAGAGGGAACAAGAGAGAACGAGAGGGAGAGCGTGTGAAAGAGCGAGAGAGAAAAATATCACTATGTAAAATGAGCATCTGAGAAGGAAAATGGTCCAAGGTGACAGGTAGGACACACAGCCATGACTCTGCAGGATGTTACTGTAGGTATCACCACGGTAACGGGGTCAGCACTCATGCAGAAGAGCCAGAATGTGTGTCTCACACCCCACCATGCTTTGAAGACATGCAGAAAGAAGCTCAAGGACACACTAGTCCACTTCACTACTGTAGTCTATAGACAGCAGCTCTTACTGGATAATGCTCAGGCAGACTCTGCTTCAAGTCTTTTTTTTTTATATACAGTACCAGTCAAAGGTTTGGACACACCTACTCGTTAAATGGTTTTTCTTTATTTTTACTATTTTCTACGTTGTAGAATAATAGTGAAGACATTAAAACTATGAAATAACACATATGGAGTCATGTAGTAACCAAAAGTGTTAAACAAATCAAAATATATTTTATATTGAGATTCTTCAAAGTAGCCACCCTTTGCCTTGATGACAGCTTTGCACACTCTTGGGATTCTCTCAACCAGCTTCATGAGGTAGTCACCTGGAATATATTTCAATTAACAGGTGTGCCTTGTTAAAAGTTAATTTGTGGAATTTCTTTCCTTCTTAATGCATTTGAGCCAGTCAGTTGTGTTGTGACAAGGTAGGTGTGGTGTACAGAAGCTAGCCCTATTTGATAAAAGACCAAGTCCATATTATGGCAAGAACAGCTCAAATAAGCAAAGAGAAACGACAGTCCATCATTACTTTAAGACATGAAGGTCAGTCAATCTGGAAAAATTTCAAGAACTTTGAAAGTTTCTTCAAGTGCAGTCGCAAAAACCATCAAGCGCTATGATGAAACTGGCTCTCATGAGGACCGCCACAGGAAAGGAAGATCGAGTTACCTCTGCTGCAGAGGATAAGTTCAATAGAGTTAACTGCACATCAGATTGCAGCCCAAATAAATGCTTCACAGAGTTCATGTAACAGACACATCTCAACATCAACTGTTCAGAGGAGACTGCGTGAATCAGGCCTTCATGGTCGAATTGCTGCAAAGAAACCACTAATAAAGGACACCAATAAGAAGAAGAGACTTGCTTGGGCCAAGAAACATTCCAACCGCCGTGTCTTTGTGAGACGCAGAGTAGGTGAACGGATGATCTCCACATGTGTGGTTCCCACCGTGAAGCATGGAGGAGGAGGTGTGATGGTGTGGGGGTGCTTTGCTGATGACACTGCCAGGGATTTATTTAGAAGTCAAGGCACACTTAACCAGTATGGATACCACAGCATTCTGCAGCGATACGCCATCCCATCTGGTTTGGGCTTAGTGGGACTATAATTTGTTTTTCAACAGGACAATGACCCAAAAGACACCTCCAGGCTGTGTAAGGGCTATTTGACCAAGAAGGAGAGTGATGGAGTGCTGTATCAGATGACCTGGCCTCCACAATCACCCGACCTCAACCCAATTGAGATGGTTTTGGATAAGTTGGACCGCAGAGTGAAGGAAAAGCAGCCAACAAGTGCTCAGCATATGTGGGAACTCCTTCAAGACAGTTGGAAAAGCATTCCAGGTGAAGCTGATTGAGAGAATGCCAAGAGTGTGCAAAGCTGTCATCAAGGCAAAGGGTGGCTACTTTGTAGAATTTCAAATATTCCATATGTGTTATTTAATAGTTTTGATGTCTTCACTATTATTCTACAATGTAGAAAATAGTAAAAATAAAGAAAAACCCTTAAATGAGTAGGTGTGTCCAAACATTTGACTGCTACTGTATATATTTTTTTATGGACATTGACAGGCAGAAGGTAGAGAGGGAGACGGATACAGTGCCTTGCAAAAGTATTCATCCCCCTTGGCGTTTCTCCTATTTTGTTCCATTACAACCTGTAATTTAAATAGATTTTTATATGGATTTAATGTAATGGAAAATAGTCAAAATTGGTGAAGTGAAATACAAAAAAAACTTGTTTCAAGAAATTCAAATAAATAAATAACGGAAAAGTGGTGCATGCAGATGTATTCACCCCCTTTGCTATGAAGCCCCTAAATAAGATCTGGTGCAACCAATTACCTTCAGAAGTCACATAATTAGTTAGATTGCACACAGGTGGACTTTATTTAAGTGTCACATGATCTGTCACATGATCTCAGTATATATACTTGCAACGCCAGGGTTGTGGGTTCGATTCCCACTGGGGGGCAGTATGAAAAATGTATGCACTCACTAACTGTAAGTCGCTCTGGATAAGAGCGTCTGCTAAATGACTCAAATGTAAATATACACCTGTTCTGAAAGGCCCCAGAGTCTGCAACACCACTAAGCAAGGGGCACCACCAAGCAAGCGGCACCATGAAGAACAAGGATCTCTCCAAACAGGTCAGGAACAAAGTTGTGGAGAAGTATAGATCAGGGTTGGGTTATAAAAAAATATCAGAAACTTTGAACATCCCACGGAGCACCATTAAATCCATCATTAAAAAATGGAAAGAATATGGCACCACAACAAACCTGCAAAGAGAGGGCCGCCCACCAATACTCACGGACCAGGCAAAGACGGCATTAATCAGAGAGGCAACAAAGAGACCAAAGATAACCCTGAAGGAGCTGCAAAGCTCCACAGCGGAGATTGGAGTATCTGTCCATAGGACCACTTTAAGCCGTACACTCCACAGAGCTGGGCTTTACGGAAAAGTGGCCAGAAAAAAGCCATTGCTTGAAGAAAAAAATAAGCTAACAGGTTTGGTGTTCGCCAAAAGGCATGTGGCAGACTCCCCAAACATATGGAAGAAGGTACTCTGGTCAGATGAGACTAGAATTGAGCTTTTTGGGCATCAAGGAAAACGCTATGTCTGGCGCAAACCCAACACCTCTCATCACCCCGAGAACACCATCCCCACAGTGAAGCATGGTGGTGGCAGCATCATGTTGTGGGGATGTTTTTCATCGGCAGGGACTGGGAAACTGGTCAGAATTGAAGGAATGATGTATGGCGATAAATACAGGGAAATTCTTGAGGGAAACCAGTTTCAGTCTTCCAGAGATTTGAGGCTGGGACGGAGGTTCACCTTCCAGCAGGACAATGACCCTAAGCATACTGCTAAAGCAACACTTGAGTGGTTTAAGGGGAAACATTTAAATGTCTTGGAATGGCCTAGTCAAAGCCCAGACCTCAATCCAATTGAGAATCTGTGGTATGACTTAAAGATTGCTGTACACCAGCAGAACCCATCCAACTTGAAGGAGCTGGAGCAGTTTTGCCTTGAAGAATGGGCAAAAATCCCAGTGGCTAGATGTGCCAAGCTTATAGAGACATACCCCAAGAAACTTGCAGCTGTAATTGCTGTAAAAGGTGGCTCTATAAAGTATTGACTTTGGGGGGTGGTGAATAGTTATGCACGCTCAAGTTTTCTGTTTTTTTGTCTTATTTCTTGTTTGCTTCACAAGAAAAAATATTTTGCATCTTCAAAGTGGTAGGCATATTGTGTAAATGAAATAATACAAACCCCCAAAAATCCATTGTAATTCCAGGTTGTAAGGCAACAAAATAGGAAAAATTTCATAACCCTGTCGCCAGCGGGTATATGTGGTCTGCAGTCGGCAGCGCTACCACTAGACCAGATTCCGGCAAACAAATGTCTTGTTGACACACCTGAATCATGGTTTAACTAAACTATTTGTGTTTTTTTGTTTTGTTTATCAGTTAGTTAGTCAGACAGAACTAATTTGATTTAGGCTACGTCAGGCAATATAGATAGTAAACCTACTCAAGTTCAGACAAAAATAGATACCGTAGCTTTAAGTTTATTTTGGATAGTTTTGTTAGAGAAAGAAACATGTTTTTGGGAGTTTTATGGATGTCGTGTTACAGTATATTTGAGTTTGGTTCTAAGGATTGCTATCGTCACAGGCCACGCCCACCTGACAGACTTCAACGTTGCTACAATAATAAAGGATGGAGAGAGGGCCACGGCCTTAGCTGGAACCAAGCCCTACATGGGTAAGACTTTTATACCTGTTATTCCTTCAGCCCTTGGAAACCCTTATCACTAGCCTGGACCCAGATCTGTTTATGCTGTCTTGCCAACTCCTATGGTCATTGTCACGACTATGACAAGACAGATCTGGGACCGTATCTCTAACATACTGTGTAAATATCCATCAGTGTGCTATGGTCTTGTGTGGGTGTAGCCTAGCTGACTGACTCTGTCTGTGTTGTATCTCCTCCAGCCCCAGAGATATTCCAGTCCTTTGTGAGCGGGGGTGTGGGTTATGCCTTTGAGGTGGACTGGTGGTCACTAGGCGTGACGGTTTTTGAGGTGCTGCGTGGATGGGTAAGGAAAGGGTTTATGGGAAGTGGGGCTGTTCTTGAGTTATGACAACTGAAGCTTACTGTATGTGGTTGATACTCACCTCTTTCCATCTCTCACTGTCTGTCTATGCTTTCTTCTCTCTCTCTCTCACACCCCCCTCCATCTATCTCTCTCTCACCCCCCTCCATCTCTCTCTGCCTCTCTCTCTCACCCCTTTCTCCCTCTCTTCCCTCCTTCTCCCTCTCTACCCCTTCCCTCTCCCTCTCACCCGCTCTCTCTCTCTCGCCCTCTGTCAGAGGCCCTATGAGATCCATGCCAGTAACTCAGTGGAGTCTTTAATGCAGCTCTTCAGTACAGTCAGTGTGCAATACAACTCCACCTGGCCCAAGGATCTGGTCCATCTCATGAGGAAGGTGAGTGGGGAGGGGAGGGGAAGGGTAAGGGGGAAGGAAAGAGATGAGTGGAGGGGATTTGATTTTTGATTTATTAGAATCCCTGTTAGCCGACGCCAATAGATACAGCTAGTCTTACTGGGGTCCGAGAAGAGCTGAGAGCAGAGGAAAGGACAGTAAAGGGGATGAGAGGAGAGGAGATGAGGGGCAGAAGTGGAGAGATGGGCTGCTGTGGAGGGTAGAATTGTCAGGGGAAAGTCTACAGTGGAGTAGAGAGTCGAGTCAGTGGTCAGAAGACATTGGGAGGCTAAGCATAATTGGGGTGTAGAGGCTCACAGCAATAGTTGAGGTGAAAGTGGATGGAGGGAGAGTTGCCTGAGGCCAGAGGGGAACAGAGGGAGATATTTAGAGATATAAGGTCAAGGAGGAGAGACAAATGGAGTGGCAGGGAGTCAGAGTAGTGAGGGACTACTCTCTACTCTGCTCGTCTGCTCCAGTCAGAGTCAACGAGGCTCCAGAGCAATGGCATTTGTATCTTCCGCTCGGCTGCTGATCGATTACCAAGTCTGAACTCCACCTAGACGGACCTAACCAGCCCTCTGGGAGAAATGACTCGTCTGATATTATAGATAGTGGGAAAGTCTGGAGAGAGACGGTTGCCGTGGCAACAGAACCACATCCCAAAATCATTTCTCCTAGGTTTATGTTAAGCTGTCCCAGGGCGAAACCAAACAGCTGTTCCATTTCAAATAATCGTTTCGATGTCTCACATATGGGGATTCACTCTAGAAGATTCACTAACTGAAGAACCAATCACAGCGTCTGTTGGAGACAGTGTCTGTTGGAGAAGCTCTCCTCAGCACGACTAGATCACTCTCTCCTACTGAACTGTTCTCAGGCGAACCGTGAGGTTAAAGATGTAGAACGTAGGACCCCGGCTCCTGTCGATAGTGTTGAGTACTGACCGAAAGGAAAGTTTTGCTTAGAGTAGATTTTATTTTCTACTCCTCAGTCTCCTGTGGTAGCTAGCATCACAAGCAAGCCCCCGGTAGTTGAGCCGTCACTGGCCAACGACCTCAAGCCCAGTGCTGCGTCACAGACCGACACTTCTCTTCCTTGGAAGACAAAGCGCTTTTCCACCTCCATCTTCCAGAAGTTTTACATGTCTGCTGCACATTCATTACGGACGTTGAACGTAATGTCCCTCCAGGCCGATTTGCTGCTGGAGATGGGCAATCTCTTAGCCACTGATACTGCCAACCAGGACTTATGGGAGGAGACTCAACCTCCGGGCCTCCAGAGGCGGTGGGCACGCCATGAGCCTTGCGGTGGTGGGGGAGAGAGCCTTGTGGCTCAACTTGTCCAGCCTCTCGGACAAGGAAAAGGCAGATTTCCTTAACGCTCCTGTAGCGCCAAAGGAACTGTTTAGGCCTTCTGTCGCCGCCATGCGGCAGAAGTGCGAACTTCAGAAGAAGGAAGGTGAAGCCTTCAACTTCTGCTTGCCCCTTAGACTTGGGCACTGTGGCAACCAGGTCTGCCCCTCCACGAGTGAAAGCTTCACGGCAGGGAGAGGGCAACACACTGGTACCAGGGTTTTTCCGCAATGCAAAACCCCCAGCGATGCAGCAGGCTGTGAACCCACAGTTCGGCTCTCCTTACAGAGGCCGACAGTGGGGGAAGTGGTCCTTCGCTGCTACCGCATCAAGGTCCTGTCCACCTGATTCCCCTGGGAAGAAGGGGCATCCGACCTAGGGCTACGTTCCCAGCGGTAGAGAGGGGCAGCTAACAGATCACTCCATGTTCTGGCCTGCCCCGAAGTGCACCCGGCTCCACAGCTCTCCCCTCAGCGCTTTCACAAGCAGCCGAGGCAAGAAGACAAATGATCAGTCAACCCATTCTGGACCTACGGGTCCTCAACAGCTATCTGAGAAAGTACACATTCTGTATTCTTACACTCAAAGTGCTGTCTCGCTCTATTCGTTGAGGCAACGTTTGTCGACCTGCAGGACACTTATTTTCACATAAGTATTCTGCCAGCACACAGGAAGTTTCTCAAGTTTGCCTTTCAAGGCACATGCTGTTAATATCTCGCTGTCCCCTTCGGGCTAGCACTAGCTCCACGAACGTTCAGCAAGTGTATGGAGGCGGCCCCAACACAGGAGCAAGCGGTATTAGACATTACTTCCCTTGTAACACATCTCATCGAGTTATGGTTCAAGATCTTGCTCCGGCCAAACGCTACGCCACGCCCACTGACATTTGTTTCTTCTCCGCAATGAGTCTGAATCTGAGTACCTCCAAGACGATTTCCAGAACGGAAAAACGTTTTAATTGTTCTGATTGGTCCTAGAAACCAATAGGTTGGGCCAGAGCCAGAAAATTCGTAATTGGCTTTGCTACTCTGATTGGTTAGAGATGATTCAATCACTGATTACTTTGTTTTGTACAACACCCCTCATTTTGACGTCACCACAAACAACTTCAATAATGGCAGTATCAGACTGAAGTATGTAGCGAACGATAGAACAGTGGATTTATTCAGTTTAAGTCGTCAGGCAAGGATTCTCTCTCTTATCGGGCTACACTATTGGACGACCACATCACGTCGTTCCGATAGTGCCTCTCCCTGTTCAACAGGGGGCACTCGGTCACGCTCAAAACGTGCCTCTGAGTGCTGGGGTTGATGGCGTCCACCATCTCAGTTGTACCGCTAGGACTACTGAGAATAGGAGACTTTCAGTGTTGGGTATCTGCCCATCGCCTGTGTCCACGACGGCACCTCAATCGAAAGATAACGGTGACCATGAACTGTCTCTTGGCTCTCTGTCACTGGAAGAGCCCCTCGATCTTCATTTCAGGCACTCCCCTAGGGTAGTGTCATCAAGGAAGGTGGTGACAGGGTGGGGTGCAGTTCACGAGGGAAGAGCAATAAACGGTTTTTGGTCCCCGCAGCTCCATCACGCTCATATAAATTATTTCAAACTGCTGACAGTGTTTCATTCATTGATACACTTTCTACCCTTCCTTCGAAATTGTCAAATCATGGTCAGGACAGACAATTCGACTGTGGTGGCACTCGCTATCTACATTTACACATTACTCACATCTTCTCATTACGCGCGACTTATTTCCTGGGCGTACTGAATGTAGGAGCGGACTTGTTGTCCAGAGGGAAGCCCCTTCATGGGGATTGGAGACCCCATCCCCAGGTGGTGAACCAGATCTGGGAGAGACACGGTCTAGCCACTGTAGATCTCTTCGCATCGCACAAAGACACACACTGTCCGTTGTTCCTTGTGATAGCAGGAGATGGACCACTGGGGTTGGACCCACTGGCACATCCTTGGCCAAGGGTGATGCTTTATGCTTTTCCTCCTCTATGCTTGATACTCCCCACTCTGGACAGAGTGAGGGAACAAGGCTTCTCTCTCATCTTGGTAGCCACTCGAATGCCAGGGAAGCTCTGGCTAGCGGAGATTACTCTCCTGCTTTACGACGAGCCCTGGCAGCTACCGTTAGGATATTTTGACCCAAAGCGAACAGAGATGTTTTCCACCCTCACCCAGAAACCATGGCGCTATGGGCCTGGCCTGTGAGAGGATGCGACAGGCTTGCCAATCGGAGTCATTGAGACTATCCAGAGTTCAAGGGCCCCTTCTACACGCTCATTGTATGGAAACAAGTTGTGCATTTATGAGAAGTGGTGTGACCGAAAACAGATAATTCCTTAACGATGCTCAGTACGCAAGGTTTTATGCTTTCTGCAGGACATTTTGGACAGAGTGAAGGCATTTTCCACTGTTAAGGTCTATTTAACCGATATCTCAGCCTTTCATATAGGCTTGGACAATAACACAGTAGGGAAACACCCTCTGTTATGTCGTTTTATGAAGGGAGCGCGTCGCTTATGCCCAAGCCTTTATCCCCATCTTGGGACCTGTCTATTGCGCTTGAGGCAATTCCGCAGCAGCCTTTTGAGCCGCTGGACAGCTTTACTGATTGACCTTACATCCGGAAAGCAAGTGAGTGACCTGCACGATCTGTCAGTCCACCATTCATGCCTTCAGTTTGCCCCGGTGTTATCCAAGGTAACATTGTTACCCATCCCCGCCTTTACGCCTAAGGTCAGCAGCGATTACTATTGTCTCTCCTTAGAGCTTATGGCTTTCCAGCCGCCGCCCTTCACTTCTACGGAAGAAGAGCGTCTCCACCGTTTATGTCCAGTGGTTGCTTTACGCATCTACTTGGATAGAACGAGAGCATGGCGAAAGAGTGACCAACTCTTCGGGTGGGCCCCGCTCTCGTCAACGGCAATCCCATTGGACAGTGGAGGCTATTGTATTGACTTATAGCAAGGGTTTGCAGTCAGGGTTGGGGAGTAACTGATTACAAGAAAACGTAACTGTAATCAGTTATGTTACAAGCAAAAATATTGTAATCAGATTAAAGATACTTTTGAAAAACGAGATGATTACTTCTTGGATACTTTTAAATTCAAGATACATTATGACACCTTTCTGATTTCTCAATGACATTCAATTCAGCATTGGAAAAGGCTCAAATTTAAGTTTGTTCCACCTGAGCGAGTCTGACCACAAGTCAGAGACCGCTTTGATGACACACCAAATGCGTTTGATGGATGCTTTTTGTCTTCTTCAAATGCCTGTTAAGGGGAAAGTAATCCAAAAGTAACTGAAAGTAATCAGTCTTTCTTACTGAGTTTGGGTAATCTAAATGTTTACTGATTACAATTTTGGACAGGTACTGTAACTAGTAACTGAAATGAATTACATTTAGAAAGTAACCTACCCAACCCTGTTTACAGCCCCGGGAGGGCATCAGGGCTCATTCCACCAGAGGTATGGTTACCTCTTGGGCACTGTTCAAATGCATCTCTTTGCAAGAGATTTACGATGCAGTATGTTGGGCCACCCCACATACGTTTGAGGTTTTACAGACTGGATGTCACTGCACCTTTGTTGGCGCATACTGTCCTCAGTGTCAGAGCCTCTGAGGGGTGATGCTATTGGGACTACTCTGGCTTTGGAGAGCATGTCTGCGATACAGGAGTTGGCCATATCCCCAAATGTGAGACATCGAAACGATTATTTGAATTAGAACTTAGAGTTACTTGTGTAACCCTGGTTTTGTGATAATGTGAGGTGAGATGTCTCACTGAATTTCCCTGGTTGCAAGAGCGCAAGGAACAGAGGCATGCATGAGAATGACCAGAGGCGGGGCGAGTTGCGCCTTATAAGGCGGGGAGGGGCTCACCTCTTTGCCACTTTACCTGTCTGTCTCCAACAGATGCTGTGATTGGTTCTTCAGTTAGTGAATCTGCTAGAGGACGAATCCCCATATGTGAGATATCTCACTCATATTATCATAGAACCAGTGTTACGTAAATACCCTAGATTTCCCTTCATTGTAGAGACAACACTATTGATACAAGTCAATTGTATGAAGTTTCTCCACTGACAATGATCTCAATCCTTCTCTAATTCCATTTATGCTAATCGGGGTGGCGTCTTTATTTTGGATTGATAAGGCACCTAAGCCCTGTACTGTATGACTGTGGCTGATTTTAAGAGTGCCCCCTAATGTCGATACTACCTAGACTATTGGATCTGATTTTAACATTCAACCTGTTTTGTCACAAGCCATGAGGTTTTTCAATTCAATTCAAGGTGACTTTATTAATCCCTGCGAGGAAATTAGAAAGCAATGTAGTGGATACTGTAGAGGTGATAGTGTTTGAGTCTTTAATGGAACTAAATTATGTACAGTATAATCTGTGTGTGTGTACGTGCGTTCACATGTCTGTGTGTGTCTCCCAGCTGCTGACGGTGAACCCAGAGCATCGTTTCTCCAGCCTGTCTCACATGCAGACGGCTCCCTACCTCTCTGACATCAACTGGGACGCTGTGTACGAGAAGAAGATAGAGGCAGGGTTTGTTCCTAACGTAAGTATGGACCACACATTTATCATGTGGGAGCATAAAATGCAGTGTGCTGCGTTTTCACCTTTTATGGACCATAAACACCGATTCACACTTCACACATACAGTATATAAGATGAACTACATTATCTCATCTTGTTAATTTATTCAGACATATAAACATACACATGTAGTCTTATACATAACCTAGTCTCTCACACTTGTTACATTCTGTGAAATGTCCATATTTGCTTCGCTGTTATTATTATTATTATTATTATTATTATTATTATTATTATTATTTATCCTGCTACTTTCTCCTAATCCCTGCCTATATGTACATATCTAGCTCAATACTCCAGTATCCCTGCACATTGTAAATGTGGTACTGGCACTGACCTAGTATATTCATGGGCTGCACGTTGCGTCACAATATTGTTTTGAACATTCGTTTTTGGACTGATGTTCAACTGAGCATTCTACTCAATGCATCCTGATTGGGCGTTGATGAAGATTTGGTCTGAAGTGCATTACTGTGGCAAATAATTAATAGGAAAACCTTTTGTCATCATTTTGATGTCGCCAGATTGACTTTAGATGCATTAAAACGTTAGCTAGCTAGCTAAGATTGAGGGTAGACCTCCAGATTTTAGCTAGCTAACATTAGCTTTGCTAGCTAATTTTGATTAAACTTTGCTCGCTAATGACAACATTGCCATCCGTCTAAAGTAAATTTGACAACATGATGATGATGACAAAGTTGTTTCCTACTAAATATGTGCCTACTTTAGCAATGGCATCGTTTTCCCAAGCCCCTATAGTGTAATTTTGACTAAACAGTAATTAGCCCTGGTTCTACCTTTGAGCATTAATATGGCTGTAGTGTCTGTAGAACGTTGATAACAATGGCAACGACGCGACCGAGTGACAGCGGTGCAATCATGAATAGCTTCCTCTCTTATTTCTTGTGTTTTTTGTATTTATTTGTATTTTCTTATTAGTTATACTTTTTTTGTATTGAATACTGCACTGTTGGCTAAGGCTTGCAAGTTAAGCATTTCACTGCACTTGTGCATGTGACAAATAAATACATATAAAAAAACTATAATAAGTCCATATTTATTGCTTCACAGTTTATTCATGCATGGTTTTGTGTTTGTGGTGTTTGCGTGTGTGTGCGTGCATATGTGTGTGTATGTGCGTGTCTGTATTAGTGTATATAGTTATTCAGTAGTGTACTGTGTGTCTTGGTTCCACAGAAGGGCCGTCTGCATTGCGACCCCACCTTTGAGCTGGAGGAGATGATACTAGAATCTCGTCCCCTCCACAAGAAGAAGAAGAGACTGGCCAAGAACAGGTCACGGGAAGCCAGCAAGGATTCCCAGTCTGTGAGTGTCACATCAACCAGTCACTACTGACTGTACCTGGATCATGTTAATCAGAATCACTTTATTCGCCAAGTACATTTACACATACCCAGAATTTGACTTAGTGAATAGGTGCTGCCAGCAATAGACAATGTACAAACAGAATACAGACCCAAGTCAACCAAACGGAAGAAGACATGGAGGGACTACCTGAATTTGTCCAATAAGAAATGTTCTCCTTTGCCCAAAAAAACAACCCTGTTAAATAGTGCTTTAGCCATGAGGCATAGGACAGTGTGGCAGATCTTGGTTTACACAGAGGGCAGGGAGGGCATTCTGTAGCCTCCTCTTCCCCAGTTGTTATTTTTCTCCCTTCATTTCATGAATATCATAAATCTCTGTCTTAAAGGCCGGTTATTTTCTTGCATGATTACAGTATTATAAGAAATCCCCCTTATTATCTGTGATTGCGCCCATTATTTACCATGGATTTTAAACAATCCATATTTATGAGCTGTGCCAGGTTTTCATCAGCCAAGCCCCTCATTACGAGCACCACATTATTAAAGTCGACCTTCAGTGTTATCAAGAGTGATCTCAGGGCGCTGTAAAAGCAGTAAAGCTTGTATCTTCTAACAATAGCCCCCATCTTACTCCGGGCCTGAGTAGTCTTCTAGTGTGTGAGGGGGCTCAGTTATTACCTAGATTATTAAATTATGAAGCCATCAGTGGGGATGTCATGCCTCCAAGTGCTTTCGGAAATATGAGCTTCTATTTTTGTCCTGTGCCAAACATCCAATTTGAGGGAAAGCACACAAACAAATCACTGGGCGTGATTTGAAGGAGGGAAGAAGGGGGTGTTTGTAATCTTTCAGGTCTCACTGGTGATTGATTGAGGTGAGATTGATCTCGTACTTCATCGTTGTCGACCTTTGTGGGTGATGATGATAATGGCTATTCTCTTTCCTTCACTGCCCTCAGGAGAACGACTACCTACAGGAGTGCCTTGAAGTCGTGCAGTCAGAGTTCATGATCTTCAACCGCGAGAAGTAAGATCACTAACCAAACCCTTCGCCTGGGAGACAAATCAAAACATATTCATGTTAAACCATTGAGGAACACTTAAAAAAAAAAAAGTGGTATGCATAAGGCTGACATACCACCTGCGTAAGGACTATACGACACCTGATATACACGTGAATAGATATTTATGAATGTTTGTTTCAGCTGACCCAAGCATTGTTAGCTCTATAATAATATACTAAGATTATATAAACGCGGAACCAATTACTGAACCTGGAAGACCACTACAAAACATATTAATGTTACATCATTCTTAGCTCTATAGTGCCTTCAGAAAGTATTCACACCCCTTTATACATTTTGTTTTGTTACAGCCTGAATTTAAAATAGATTAAATCGAGATTTTGTCACTGATCTACACACAATATCCCATAATGTCAAAGTGGAATTTTGTTTGTAGAACATTTTAGAAATGAATAACAAATGTAAAGCTGAAATGTCAATAAGTATTCAACCCCTTTGTTGTGGCAAGCCTTAAGTTCAGGAGTAAACATGTGCTTAACAAATCACATAATAAGTTGCATGGACTCATTCCATGTTCAATAATAGTTGTTAACATAGTTTTTTTTTATAACTACCGCATCTATGTACCCCACAATTATCTGTAAGGTCCCTCAACCGAGTATTGAATTTCAAGCACAGATTCAACCACAAAGACCAGGGAGGTATTTCAGTGCCTCACAAAGAAGGGCACCGATTTGTAGATGTGTACAGATTTTAAAAAGCAGATGTTGAATATCCCTTCGAGCATGGTGAAGTTATTAATTACACTTTGGGTGTATTGATACACCATCCAGTCACCGGAGAGGAACTCAGTTGCCGGAGAGGAAGGAAACTCCTCAGGGATTTCACCATGAGGCCAATGATGATTTTAAACAGTTACAAGGTTTAGTGGTTGTGATATGAGATCTGAGGATGGATCAACAACATTGTAATTACTCCACAATACGAACCTAAATGACAGAGTGAAAGGAAGGAGCCTGACAGAATAAAAAATATTCCAAAATATGCATCCTGTTTGCAACAAGGCACTAAAGTAATACTTTGAAAAATGTGGCAAAGAAATTCACTTTTCTTGTCCTGAATACAAAGCGTTGTGTTTGGGGCAAATCCAACACAACACATTACTGAGTACCACTCTTCATATTTTCAAGCATGGTGGTGGCTGCATCATGTTATGGGTATGCTTGTCATCAGCAAGGACTAGAGAGTTTTTTTTTAGGATAAAAAGAAAAGGAATACAGCTATAAGCACAGGCAAAATCCTACAGGAAAACCTGGTTTAGTCTGCTTTCCAGCAGACACTGGGAGACAAATCCACCTTTCAGTAGGACAATAACTTAAAATACAAAGCCCAATCCACACTGGAGTTGCTTACCAAAACGACATCGAATAGCAATGATCATCAATCAACTTGACAGAGCTTGAAGAATAAAAAAATAAAAAATGGACAAATATTGTACAATCCAGGTGTGCAAAGCTCTTAGAGACTTACCCAAAAAGACTCACAGCTGTAATCGCAGCCAAAGGTGCTCCTACAAAGTATTGACTCAGGGGGTGTGAATATTTATGTAAATGAGGTATTTCTGTATTTCCTTTCCAATACATGTGTAAAAAAAAAAAAAAAAACATGTTTTCACTTTGTCATTCTAAGGCAGGGGTGAGCAAACCTTTTTGCTCAAGGGCCACATTGAGTTTTTGAAACCAATTGAAGGGCCACATACTATATGTGTGACAAAACATGTGAAGCCTTTATTCATTTTCACATTGACACGCAACTACTAGTGTACTGTAGGTGTACATATGCTTGCAGAACAATTCTACCCTTGTACCATCTCTACCCTTGTTTTTGGTGAACACATTTTTCACAACATTTTAAAAAAATTTGTATAATTTATAACATCACAGACACAGTCAAACACACACACACAGATCCTGCATCTCTACCCTTGTAAAGTACAATAAAACTTACAGTCACAGTATGCAAACTTAAAAATAGATATATGTTATATGTCTGGAGACATGCATAATGGAACAGCAGATGTGTAAAAAAAAACTATTCTAACATTTGAGTGAAACATATGGTAAGAGCATCTGTTTCATTTGGAATGGTCTGTTTTTGAAAGCATATTAAGGAACAATTCTCATCTCCATTGTGAGCCATATTTACAGTTATCCAATCACCTCAACCCAAATCTGACTGATTTAGTTATTACCTGTATCCAAGTGCATTGCTGGATAATTCTAACTGCATAACCATCACCATGAAAAATCATAATCCCTGCCTACCTCAGTCACGGTTATTCAAGTCTTAATGTGAACAATGGGTCTGGTCACCTCTCTTGGCGAGGGCATCAACGTCTGGTGTCATCTTTGATGTAGAGATTCTCAGAACAGCTGACAAGTGGTCATTTGTTAAATTTGACCTGTGACGGGATTTGTTGTAATTCATGACTGAGAACGTTTGTTCACACACATATGTGGACCCGAATAAAACAAGCATCCTTTGGGCGTGCTTTTTAATGTTTGGAAACTTTGTTTCATTCAGTGAGCCATAGACCTGGTCTATTGTTGCTGTTTTGTACTTCTCCTTCAAAGCACTGTCACATTGGATGTCGATGAGCTCCAATTGTGTGTCTGGTGGTGCTTTCTCACTGTTGAAAGACAGGGGGCATGATACAAGCTCCAGCTCAGTCTCAATATTGGTGAAGTCTGAGAAGCGGCGGGAAAACATGCAGGTTGGTCAAAGTGCTACTGTATGTCTCAGTGCGGCACTGCGATGTGGGCGCGTTCAGTGCGGCCAGCGTCAGAAAATGAGCGAGAGACCGGCTGCTCATTTGTCTGGAGAACAACATAAGTTTGGCCTTGAATGCTTTCACGTTGGAATACAGTTAATGTACAAAAATACAATTTCCCTGCAGTTTCACATTTAGATCGTTCAGACGCCGCAATATGTCCACACCGAAAGCAAAGTCTCCCAGCCAGTCTGTGTCTTTCAACTCGGAGAAGTCGTCAGCTTTACCAACCGTATCAAGGAACATACCTATCTCCCCTCTCAGTTCCCACACAAGGGGCGACAATTGTAATTGCCGCTAACCTTAGCAGCCTTGGAAAACTGTAGGCACGAATGGTGAACTGACAGTGCGTATAGCTCACTCACTCGCTTTGCGGATGTAAGGGTGACCAGTAAAGAGGTCTTAAAGGAGAGATATTTCAACTATATGGTTTCCTGCGGCTCAAAAGGCTATGAAATCCTCAAGCACAATAGACAAATCCCATGATGGGAGTAAAAGCTTGGGAACTGGACGTAAGTAAGGCGCCCCCTTAATAAAATGACATAACATGGGGTGTTTTCCCACAATGTTCTAGTTGAAGGCTATATGACAGGCTGAGATAGCGGCTAGATAGACCTTAAGAGTGGATAAAGCCTTCCCTCTGTCCAAAAGGTCCTGCAAAAAGCATAAAAACTTGGAAACAGAGCATTGGTAAGGAATGATCTGTTTTTGGTCAAACCACTTCTCAAAAACCCACAACTTATTTCCATACAGTGAGCATGTAGAAGGGCCCCTAGCACTCTGGATAGTCTCAATGACTCCTAGAAGCAGGCCTGTCACATCCAGATTTAACCTCAAACAGGCCAGGCCCAGAGGACCATGGCATCCAGGTGAGGGTGGAAAATCTAAGGCTCGTCGTACAACAGGATAATGATCTCCGCTATCCAGAGTTTGCCTTGCCATCGAGGGGCTACTGAGATATGGGATAAGCATTCTTCCCTCACTCTAGCCAGAATGAGGGGAGGAAAAGCTTAAAGCAACACCCTCGGCCAAGGGTGTGCCAGCGCGTCCACCCCCAGTGGTGTGTCTCCTGCTAGTGCGAAGAACAACGGGCAGTGCACGTTTTCTTGCAATGCGAAGAGATCTACGGATGCTTGACCATAATACAGATGGAAGTCTGTCATCCTCAGTAGTCCTGAGATGGTGGATGCCATCAACCCCAGCACTCGGAGGCACGCCTTGAACATGACAGAGCGCCCACTGTGGAACAGGGAGGGGCACAGCCGGAATGACCCGATGAGAGTGTTGCCTGATAAGAGAGCGAATCCAACATTACGCCTAGGTATTCTATTCTCTGTGTTGGCACCAAACGTAACTTTATCTGATTGATCTTGAACTCTAGTTCGGAGAGGTAGGTTACAAGGGAAGTTGTGTCTCTTACCGCTTGTTCCCGGGATGGGGAGCAAAGCAGGTAATCGTAGGTGGAGAGTCTCAGCCCCTTGTTTCTCAGGGGTGTGACGGCTGCCTCTACACACTTGCTGATCGTTCGGGGAGCTAGCGCTAGCCCGAATGGGACAGCAAGGTATTCGTAGGCTGTGCCTTGAAAAGCAAACCTCAGAAACCTCCTGTGTGCTGGCAGGATGATTATGTGGAAATAAGCATCCTGCAGGTCGACTGAGGTGAACCAATCGCCTTGACGAATAGAGCGAGACAGCACATTGACTGTAAGCATACAGAACATGAACTTCGTCAGAGGACCCATAGGTCCAGAATGGGGGTGAATTCTCCCCTTTTTTGGGGAACCAGGAAGTACTGAGAGTAGAAGCTGAGGTGGTTCTCTGGCTCAGGTATCGTCCTGATACCCCCTTTGCTTAATAGAGAGGAGATGTCCTGCTCTAGTATGCGTGCCGAGTTGCCAGTCGATACTGATTCAAAAATTCTGTTGAAAACAGGTGGTCTCAGACCGAACTGCAGTCTGTACCCCTTTGTAACTGTAGACCAGAAGGGTTTTAGGAGCACAGATGTGCTTCTCCCCCAGTGGGGGGTCTGTGCGCCACCCGAGAGATGGCAGGTCAGAACACAGGGTGAACTGTTGGCTGCCCCTCTCTGCCGCATGCGGTGTACCCCTGGATCGGGCCCCCATTTTTCCCTACAGGGGAACCAAATGGGTGGGACTTTGATCTGGCTGCAGTGAAGGACCGTTTTCCCAACTGTCGCACCCAAACTGTGGGATCGATGCCCAATACGTCACTCGGGGCTTCCTGTGGAAAGCCCTGTTGCCAGCGAATTGCCTTCTCCCTGCCACGAAGCCTTGGTTTGTGGAGGGGTAGGCCGGGTAGCCACAATTCTCCGGTCTAGGAGGCAGGCAGAAGTTTAAGGCTTCGCCCTCCTTCTTTAGAAGTATGCACTTCTGCCACATGGCGGTGACAGCCGGCCCAACAGTTCCTTCGGCAGCTTTCTCCTTGTCTGCCAGGCTAGACAAGTTGAGCCACAAGGCTCTCTCCCCTACCACTCCAGCCTTGAATGGCGCTCCTGGAGGCTTGGAGGTTGAGGTCTGTGATGACACAGATCTAATCCCAAAGGTCTGGTTTAGGCTTGCCAATAGCTAGGAGATTATGCATCTCTAGCATGAAATCACCCTGTTAAGCCAGTAGTAGGGACTTAAAGTTTAATGCTGTACAGAACGTGTGGGCCTAGATGGCGAGGGTCGAGAGGTCATACCCTCGCCATCGTCTTCGTCGATGACGAGGTCCAATTCCCCCTCCTCCTTGGCCAAACCCTGGAAAAGTGGGTGAATGCCCTCGGGATAGCCATCCATGACGTCCTCCCATGAGGGCTGGGTCTGTGAGGCAGTCTCCCCGCTCATGTTCGGTGTTGGAGACGAACCACATTGGGCTGCTCTGCGCACTCTCCGTCTGAGGGTGTTAGCAGCAAAAAACCTACAATGGATGCATAACCAGTGGTCATCGAAAGCTGTTCCGCGTGTTCGAGACCCAGGCAGATGGGTATGGTTTCTCTGCATATGGTTGCCCCGCAAAGGCACGGGTGTGCCGGTGATGAAGCAGGGGCCGGGGCCTTGCTCAGTACCCCATGGGCTGAGCTAGTAGGCTCCATGGCTACAAAAACAGCTAATCCAAGAACAAAGTGAAAAGTAACTAGCGTTTGCCACATGGGCTAGTAGCCTAGCTAGTTAGCACTAGCTGGAGTAGCTAATCATTTAACAATGTCAACGTAGCTAGTGTTCGCCAAGTTAGCCAAAGGAAGCTAGGCCTTGTTGGTCTTCAACTAATAAAAGCGTGGCTCTTGACTGATAAGCAGAGAAGCTAGGACGGTTGGTCTAGTCAACGTGGCAAGGAAGTGGGTTGAACTAAACGAGAGAGCGAGCTAGTAATTCTACCCTTCCAGGTAGAGAAATTAGTCCGTAGGATAGCTAGCCTTGAGACGAGCTAGCCAGGTTAGCTAAGCCTTGCAGCTAAGCTAGCCAAGTCTCAGCAGCTAGCCGTGTGACTTTAGCTACAACGAGATGAGGGAAGAAAAGCGGTGAAGCAGATTCTTACCTTAAGCAAAAATCATTTCGGTAAAGTCACCGAACACAAAATACGAGAGCTGAAAACCCTGCGTTCAGCATCGTAACCTTGACGGCACACCTGTGAATAGTTAAACAGGAAAACGGATCAAGTCATGCTGAGGAGAGCTATATATAACTCTTCTGTGAATAAGAGAGGTGAGAATGATCAGAGGGTGGGCGAGTGGCTCTTTAGTATGAGGGGAGCAACTCCCTCATTCGCCACTCGACCTGTCTGTCTCCAACAGACGTGTAAATTGGGTTCTTCGAGCTCCTTAGAGATTCTGGTGAATCCCACTAGTGAGATATTGAAAATCATAATTAAAACAGAACCCCTTATTCACATTAAAACCATTGTTAGCTCTATGATAAGATTATATAAGTAATAACCATTATTTGCATGGTCATTTCTCCATGTTATCTATCCTTTACAGAACAGTGATGCAATATGTGGTCATCATATCAAGGGTTAAAAGGTGGTCGAATGAATCAGCCTCATAATAGTTTTCGGTTTCTCCCCATCATTTAAGTTTTAGGGCGAATAACTGTTTATATTCTGCATCCTTGCTGACCAGGTAGCTTCCAGTGACACTGACATCCGTCTATTAGTGCTGAGTGATTAACCCATTTTTAATTAAAACTTTCATATTAAACAACTTATTCACTGACGTTGGTTCAATTACATGAATTCCATTTAGTTTGCTTTTCTTGTGAGCCCAACACACTAATTCTCTAGAGAGAAATCAAATCATTAATGAGAGAAATCAAGTCAAGAACTATGTGGGACGCTGGGCTGAAGAGAGATGTGGTTTTCATTAAGCAAATATTCAACCTAGTTCAGCGCAGAAACGTGGTAATTAACTACAATGAACATAATCCATTGCGCCTGTTCTTTCTGTCTCGGACAGAGACAGATACACTTTTATGCCTGCTACTTTAGGTTAGATACACACAGACCGCATAGACCGCATGAGAGAGGAATATACAGTACACAACACAATAATGAGAGGGATAGAGACAATTAGTGAAAGTATGCCTTATCTATTTTGAAGAACTAGTAAAATTATTTGGTCAGACGGCTCTGCAGCATACTTAGCCAGGGTAGCCTAGCTAAATAGGATGAGTAAAGACAGTACGGTATGGGGAGCACTGAGTTAACATTAGATGGTCTGGTTGGCTGGCTGCTACTGCCTGACCCGAGATGAGATTATGACTTTAAGAAATGCCAAGCAGCACAGTATACACAACTGAAATATTGTATTATTTCATAGTAATTTCCTATTTTTGTATTGATGTCTAGTCAATGTGGACCTGACAGACAATGGAACATTTTCAATGTTTTGGCAATTGAATGTTCACTATTTTTGGCTTTAGAAAAATCTGTCGATGTGCCCTTGAGCAAGGCACTTAACCCTAATTGCTCCTGTAAATCGCTCTGGATAAGAGCATCTGCTAAAATGACTAAATAAAATAAAATAAAAGTATGCCTTATTTACTTTGAAGAACTACCAAAATAGTGATTTTGTCAGACAGCATAGCTCTATAGAGATGATATGATGACTTGAAATTAAACAAATAATAATAATAATAATAATAATATGCCATTTAGCAGATGTAATAACACAAGTGAAATATTTTATTTAAGCAAAGTAATGTGAATAAATGATGGTTAATAAGTGAAAAGCAGTTATGGGTCACTACCATCATGGGACTTGTATTCATTGTTTTATTCTGTGTTGTTACAGCATTCAACCCACATAATGCATAGTACTGTAAGTCGCTCTGGATAAGAGCGTCTGCTAAATGACTAAAATGTAAATGTAAATGTACATTTCATGTTTTAAAAAATTATTGAGACCGAAATTGAAAACCGTGATTCTTTTATAATAATCGAACAGAAACCGAACCCTCCTCAAAAAGCACTAATCGCTCAGCACTACCCTCTATGCAATTCATATAGAAATTATGTATTATCTCGACTTAATAATGGCTGTATAGAGCTATAGCTGTTTTATGACCCAATATTGTTTCCGTAATGTTGTGTTTACATCAATAGATCCTACGCTCATCATTGGTAAACAGGACTAAAGCTCATATTTCATGGAACATGGGACTGCTCTGCGATCATGAGGGAGAGAATATTGGTTCATCTCTGATCTAAATTAATACCTCATTCATTATTTACCAGTGTCTGACAGAGAGTATATCACAGTCCTTAGACTCCCACTATGTATTTTAATCACAAATGAGCTTTTCTCTCTGTCCTGTGTGTGTGTGTGTGTGTGTGTGTGTGTGTGTGTGTGTGCGTGCATCTGTCTCTCAGGTTGAAAAAGAGTCAGGAGGAGGGTGCAGAGGGAGGGGAGTGTGAAGGTGCTGCCGTGGGGGGTGATGATGGTGATGGAGACGGCTCCGGGGAGGCTGAGGGAGGCACAGAGGATGAGGATCCCGAACCCGAACCTGAGTCCTCCTCCAAACTGAGCATGTGCGGCTCGGTCTGCTCCTCTCCTGGCAGCTGCTAGCACCACACCGCCACCTGGTGGTCTCACAGGCTGCTGTGTGTGTGCGTGTGTAACCATGCCTATAGATACTTTAACCTCTCCTATGTAGCCATGATGACTGGGTGAACAGGATCGCACAGCAGAACAACAACGCACAGCAGGACACAAAATGGCTCCCCTATTTCTTCTTCTGTAGCATCCATCGTTAAGGCATGAATGGGACTGCAGGTTCCAGAGCGGTCCTGCCCTCCGCGCCCTAGAGTAAACGCTAACTATCTTCTATGCAACGTACAGTATAGCATGAAAGTAAGGTATCATTACGAGAGGGGATAACAAGCAGCAGAAGCCACAAGCACAGTATATGAGCCTGATGACATACAGAGAAATAGGAGACAGGTTTAAGAGTGTACGAGATTTCTTTAGCAGAGCCTCTCCGCTCTTTCAGCCTCGGGTAGATGTAGCTCCCTCTGCAAACTCACATGCTAAATTATTCAAATAGAGTTAGGCACTCTTAGCTTTCTTTGCCTGTGTAGCTCATGCAATCCCTCTCATACTCTCTGTGCACCCTATTTGGAACTACAATATTACTGTTGTTGGGTTACCTTCCCCCAAATGCCTTTCATTTCAATTATAATATATAATTGTTAAAGTATCACAATGCCAATATACAGTGTAGTGCACATAGAAATATAATTGCTATTATATTACTATGTTCTATGGGATTCTATTTCTAAGGTATTGCAGTGGATAGAGACTTTAAGATGTTAATGCTGTTTCAAGTTGCAGAGAGTGAGCCTTATAAGCATATAATACTGTATGGGCCCATTAAGGATAAGGAGGTTTTGCAAGTGTAAATAAACCACTAGTTCAATCCAATACTGTAAAACCACTTTAAATGGTGTTGATTGTTAATCAATAGCCATTCATCACACGTAATTATATCTACATTATGCATCAGCATGCCAGTTTGATATTCCTACACGGATTACGCTCCTCCACCAAATCCTTTTCCCCTACAGTGTTAGATTTTCAAAGGCCCTAAGTACAACTGTGGTGTAAGTGAAGGTTTCCCTCACCATCGATCTCTGTGACTGTTGCCAAGATGCTGTTCTTCTCACACTGTTCCATTGTGGGCTACATGCTCGTACTGCTTTAGTGCTTATCTGTTCAACATAAACATTGTCACTAACAGGGGATCAGACCATAGAAATATAATTATATTGAATGTACCCATGAGGGTGCAGTCAAATTGTCGTGGTCTGAGGGGCTTCCCCCTTTCTAGTCATTCTATTTCTATGGATCAGAAATGATTAACTTCTTTTGAATAGCTACAAAACAATCTTGTGGTTGAACATTATCCCTTAATAGACAACAATAACTATTACCTAGTGGAATTTGACAATTGTCTCTCAAATATGATTGTCTCGATCACTACATATAGAAAATTATCATTGGGCAGTATTTTAAGTTGTTTAGTTGAAACAGTCACCTAGTAGAGACAGTGGTATATTTAAGGTGGTGCCATTTACTCTCAGCATGGACATCTGGGAACATGTAGCATAGTCCACCTTAAAACCCTAAGGCCTAACAAAGTAACACGTGTAAATAGACTAGCCTAACTCTCCACAGTTTTATGTGGGACTGCTTACTAAACTAACATACATGTTACTAAATTAAGAGTTGTATGAAGCCAAACCTTCATACACTGTTGTACTGATCTTATTTCCAAGTGTGCAGGCACAACTTGTAGGCAGATATGCCAAAGCTTTTCTACCATTTGCATTGCCATTTCTAAGGAACTTTGAGTGTGCGAATGTATGTTTCCTCTCTGTTGTGCATAGAACCACTGTTCCTTCTGGAAGTGAAAATACTATCATTTGTATACAACCATTTATTGTGATTATAGATAAAGGAATGTTTTTTGGGAGAAATAAAATAGTCTTTAATTATATGAAAAAAAAATGAAGATGCCTCTTAAAAAGAGGTGAGGTGGAAAAATGCACAGATTTCCTATCAAAATAAGCGCATTAACTACACCGATAGCGTCTCGAACCCTGCATGTACCTCTATTCAAGGTTTGAATCTGATTTTGTAGGAGTCCCAAACGCTAGGGTTTGCGTGGCTTACAGTATGTGCACGTGCAAGCTTCAGCCATAGAGATGGATAGAGATCTCTACTTGGAAATAATCTGTTTTTGCATGGACATTGCCATTGAGGGCTTCCACAATTTTAAAGTAGTCAAGTGGGCGGGGATTCCTATGGGTTGGGAGCATTCAGCTAATAATCAGAGCGTTTGCTTCTTCAAATTTGGTTACCTGGTTTGTAAATGGCTTTAAGCTGGATCACTGCCATTAGTGGCCACAATAAATAAATGACACACAAGATTTGGTTCAGGACTCCTGCACTGCAGGTGGTGGTAAATCACCAATATAAGCTGTATGCATTTTCCAAACACAAAAGAAGAAGAAATTTGACCACTTCAATGGCGCTGCCCATGCTCTCATTTTTTACCTTTATTTAACTAGGCAAGTCAGTTAAGAACAAATTCTTATTTACAATGACGGCCTACACCGGCCAAACCCGGACGACGCTGGGCCAATTGTGCGCCGCCCTATGGGACTCCCAATCACGGCCGGTTGTGATACAGCCTGGCATTGAACTAGGGGGTCTGTAGTGACGCCTCAAGCACTGAGATGCAGTGCCTTAGACCGCTGCAAAATGGGACAGATACCAAGATGAGTTGTCTAACTAAGACTATGGCAGTAGCACACCTTGACTTTCGCCTGTGTTCTGATGATTGACAGAGGCCTTGTCCAATGAGTGAAGCCCTGCCCTGATTGCCTGTCTATGTGATGTCTAGGTTTGCTAAAAACAAGATTTAAGACCTCCTACAACTGTACAAATCATTTATTCCCAGTGTTATATGGATGGCATGATATTTTAGATTATATGCAGTAACTTCTGACATCCCGTAGATTGTCTTAAGAATATGTTCAAGTGCACAGGCTTTTCCTTCCTTAAATGGATGATTTAATAAGTCAGTAATTATGCTCTTCTATGCTCCAATGTGGGTAAGTTTGAGTTTTATGTGCTTTGTTATGTATATGGAAAGGTATTATGCCAAGGGTTTGGGGCAGTGTGTAAGTATGCCCTTAGATGGTCTTATCTATGTGAAAAGTCTTAAATGGCTGTTAAATAACACACACACACACACACACACATATATATATATATATATATATATATATATATACATATATACATACATACATACATACATACACACACACACACACACACACACACACACACACCACACACACACACACACACACACACACACACACACACACATACAGTGCATTCGGAAAGTATTCAGACCACTTCCCTTTTTCCACATTGTTACTTTACAGCCTTATTCTAAAATGGATTAAATAAAACATTTTCCTCATCAATCTACACACATTACCCCATAATGACAAAGCGAAAACAGGTTTTAAAAAATGTTTGCAAATGTATTAAAAATAAAAAACAGAAATACATTATTTACATAAGTATTCAGACCGTTTGCTATGAGACTCGAAATTGAGCTCAGGTGCATCCTGTTTTCATTGGTTCCTTGAGATGTTTCGACAACTTGATTGGAGTCCACCTGTGGTAAATTAAATTGATTGGACATGATTTGGAAAGGCACACACCTGTTTATATAACGTCCCACAGTTGACAGTGCATGTCAGAGCAAAAACCAAGCCATGAGGTCGAAGGAATTGTCCGTAGAGCTCCGAGACAGGATTGTGTCGAGGCACAGATCTGGGGAAGGGTACCAAAACATTTCTGCAGCATTGAAGGTCCCCAAGAACACAGTGGCCTCCATCATTCTTAAATGGAAGAAGTATGGAACCACCAAGACTTCCTAGGGCAGGCCGCCCGGCCAAACTCAGCAATCGGGGGTGAAGGGCCTTGGGTCAGGGAGGTGACCAAGAATCTGATGGTCACTCTGACAGAGCTCCAGAGTTCCTCTGTGGAGATGGGAGAACCTTCCAGAAGGACAACCATCTCTGCAGCACTCCACCAATCAGGCCTTTATGGTAGAGTGGCCATACAGAAGCCACTCCTCAGTAAAAGGCACATGACAGCCCGCTTGGAGTTGGCTAAATGGCACCTAAAGGACTCTGACCATGAGAAACAAGATTCTCTGGTCTGATGAAACCAAGAATGAACTCTTTGGTCTGAATGCCAAGCTTCACGTCTGGAGGAAACCTGGCACCATCCCTATGGTGAAGCATGGTGCTGGAAGCATCATGCTGTGGGGATGTTTTTCAGCGGCAGGGACTGGGAGACTAGTCAGGGTTGAGGGAAAGATGAACGGAGCAAAGTACAGAGAGATCCTTGATGAACACCTGCTCTAGAGCGCTCAGGACCTCAGACAGGGGCGAAGGTACACCTTCCAACAGGACAACGCCCCTAAGCACACAGCCAAGATAACGCAGGAGTGGCTTCGGGACAAGTCTCTGAATGTCCTTGAGTGGCCCGGACTTGAACCCGATCGAACATCTCTGGAGAGACCTGAAAATAACTGTGCAGCGACGCTCCCCATCCAACCTGACAGAGCTTGAGAGGATCTGCAGAGAAGAATGGGAGAAACTCTCCCCAAATACAGGTGTGCCAAGCTTGTATTGTCATATCCAAGAAGACTCGAGGCTGTAATTGCTGCCAAAGGTGCTTCAACAAAGTACTGAGTAAAGGGTCTGAATACTTATGTAAATGTGATATTTCAGTATTCTATTTTTTAAACATTTGCAAAAAAATCTAAAAACCTGTTTTTGCTTTGTCATCATGGGGTATTGTGTGTAGATTGATGATGGGGAAAAACAATTTAATCAATTTTAGAATAAGGCTGTAACGTAACAAAATGTGGAAAAAGTCAAGGGGTCTGAATACTTTCCAAATGCACTGTATATATACACATACATACAGTGGGGTCTGAAATGATTCACACCCTTGAAAAAGATTAGCAAAAATGACCTCATAATTCAAATACTGACCTATATTGTGTGCAAAAGAATTTGGGGAAATTATATTATTTTATACTAATTGCTCAAAGAAAGAGATTTTGTTTAACAAGGAATACTTTAATATTTGGATAAAAGCATCTGCTAAATGGTATATATTATTATTTTTTTCAAAGGTAGGGGTCAAAATTATAGACACCCTTTTTCAAAACCTTTCAATACCTCACGAATAATGGCGCTTAGCCATTTTGTAAAGTGTTTTATGAGTTTGAGAACCTTGGGAGGGATTTTAGACCATTCCTCCATGCAGGTTCCTTCTAGATCCTTAATATCCTTCTTCTGCACTTATGGACTGCCCTCTTCAATTCAAACCACAGGTTTATTATATACAGTATATATACAGCTCTTCAACATGTCTTTACATTGTCCTCTCTAATGAAGATTAGATGAAAAAGCTTGATTGGATGCTCAGTCTCCCGTTCTAGATATGTCCATGTAATTATGTCTAGTATTTGTAATTAATAGTCATTGAATTTAATATAACCCTGCTGGGTAGCTTTTTTCAACAATATTGTAGCCTAATGTCATTCCCTTGATATCTCAAATTCATCTCCATTCCTGATCGGATGTTGCTTGCCTAACCCGCAAAAATCTAAAATATGTTCTTACCAATGTGTTTACATGCTAGTTTATTGAGTAACATTGTTGTAAGTATATTTACCAGGGTGTTTCAAACAGCATTGTTATAGAGGGAGTGACCAACTTCCACAGCACCTTTACCATATCTGGATAAGTATCAACGCTCTCACATCTAGCATTAGTGTCTGATCTTTGTAGAATCATTTAGTAAGGTAGTGTACATTTTTAAGAACAAAAAACAGGTTTGATGATCTATGACCACTCTCCTTTTTGTGATCCGATTTTGAACATGTTCTGTAAGATTTTTATGGGGACTAAATAAATACACTTGCAACTAGCCTGGGTCTCAGTGGAAGCCTTGTACTGTACCTATTCAAACTGCTCTGTGTATTGAAACATGTTGCTTTAACTGCTTTGATAAATAAATACATTCCGTCTAGTGGTCTCTGTAGTGATTTGTTTTTGTCATTCATCCACATTGAGATTATTAGTAGTCCCTAACCACTGATACAGGGTCAGGTATGATTTACAGCCCCCTAATGGTTTAGTTTAGGATTGAGGGTAGGGTAACCTGATTCTTGATTTGTGGTAAAGGGCAAGGTCTACCTAATGACTCGGTGCTGCATTTGTCGCTCTTGATTGGCACCAGGGGGCGGAAGGGAGGCATGGGACAGGAAAGGGTAAATCCCACCCAAAACAGAATACATTACCAGATAAAACAATCAATGGTTTAGAACTTTGAAGTAAACACCTGAGAGGCTGGGACACAGTTACCCCTGGGTGTAGGGATTCAGGTTTTGTCTATGATGGGAGAAACGATGAGAGTGTCCGAGGATTAGAGGAGTGTATTACGCGGAAAAATAAGCTTTAATGTGGTGATCTATCAACTGTACCACAGAATATATACTAAGCCTGTGTTTACACTTTAAAGGGCTTGTTTTATACCATGTTGTCCACTTACAAAATACAACTTCAGCAAAACAGCATAGATTGTACATTAAAGTGTCTTTCATTGTTTGCCCTAGCCAGGTGCACCCTCATCACTTCCTAAGGCCAGAGTGAAGTAGCATTAGTAGCTGCTCAACAGAGATCTTCTCCCTTCTCTTCCTCTCTCAGGAGTCGCCATTCTCCACCAGTCCGTGGCCGTCCAGGATGTCCACCACATGTTTTCCAGCCGTGTCCAGCAGGGGGCTCCACTTAGGGGCCTCTATTGTGTGCAGCAGCACGGCCAGCTCAGCCTCCAGCTTTTGTACTGTGTCCTCTACATGCTGCAGGGGACACATAAGGGACAGACAGGGTCATCTATCAGCCCAACTCACATTGATTCCTAGGCCCTATCCCTAGAACCTAAACCTAAGTGTTGACTTGCTCTGGGAACTTTTGCGATTAGTAAGTCATTTTTAAACCTCCCGCTTTGGGCTGGATGTGTCAATGTGTAGTTCATACATATATAATCTTTGAGCAGATTTAATTAGCCACGAAATCCCTAGTACAAAAGCAACTGTTTTCTGGAAGCTATGCGCCGCCATTTTCCCCCACGTGGGCCAGCCCCCAAGCAATTAGAGTGACAGCTAGCAAGATGCACACGGAGCGATAGAGAGAGCAATGACGTGATGCACATATCTGTACATATGTGACGTAGTAAGCAATTTTCGGGGACCACTTTTGGGTCTTGAGCCTACTTTCAGAACTAATGGCTAAAAAGTACCGGAGAATCTCTTTAAAGAATTGGATAGTAAGTAAACTATGGCAAAGTTTCCATATAGCATATCAACGTGAAAGCTGAAGCTAATACCATTGTTTTCACCAATCCTATACCCACCGTTGTTGTGGGGGGTTAAGTGCCTTGCTCAAGGGCACAACAGCATCTAGGATTTGATACCTGCAACCCTCCAATTATCAGCTCACTTCCTGATAGATATTTTCCTGTCAGAACTGGGATTCAAACTGCCAACCCTCCGGTTGCTGGCTCACCTCTCTAACCGCTAGGCTACCAGCGGGGATAGGTTCTCCTCAGATGCACTCAATACTCGTTCAACATCAATACTCTCTGGGTGGCGTGAACCAAAGAGGAAGAAATGTTAGTAACTGAGTGAATTCCACTGCTGAGCCATTTGGATGGGCATTTTAGCTAAAAAATCTGATCCTTAAAAGAAAATAGTGCAGATAGTTTGGCCGTCGCCATTAAACAAAAAACTAGTTGATACAAAGTATTAATGTTACAAACCACTGGGAAATCTTCCAAATTCCTTCAAAGATCGAATGTCTGATTGAACCCTTTAAGTCCAACTACACAAATCATTTATAAGAATACTACTATGTCATTCTAAAGAGTGCCATAAAGGTTATGCAACATTTATTTTTTAAGCACCATATGTAAGGACCTGTTATATCACCTTGTATTATGATATTTGGTTATGAGTGGTTTGTGAAGCAGCAACATACGCCTTATAAAGGGTTTATGAAGGCTTTATTAGATATATTTTGTTTAACGTGTGACCAAACAAGACAGTGAAAAGCATTGTGATTATTACTCCACCTTCTCCACTACATCCAGTCTGTCATGAAGAGTACCGTGGTCCTGACAGGCACTCGACCGGACAGCTCTGGGTTGGAACTCAGACTCGGGTCCTGATGGAAAACATAGGCCAGCAGACATAATTTTCGATTACAAGACAAATATGTGTTATCTTGAAGAACAGAACATGTTTTCTAACTTTATTTCTGACTTTACATTTACATTTTTTTTTTACATTTTAGTCATTTAGCAGACGCTCTTATCCAGAGCGACTTACAGGAGCAATTAGGGTCTAGTCTGTACATCCTTCATACAGACTAGACTAGAGGACATACTTATGGACTTCAATACACACCAGAGCAGAATTCTCAAAACCTCCCTGAGAAAACCCAGTGTATGTTTTGTCTACTATCTCTATCCACAGCTTGAGTTCTTCTCAGCAGAAATGGGAAAAAAACTCAGTTCTGTTCCATTATAAATCTTCATCCTGCTTATCGGTAAAGGTCACCAAAACAAGTCTTCCTTGTCTCCTCTCCTTGTTCTCCCTCCCTCTCCCGTCTGTCTGGTTCACAGCCCGTTCAACGTGTTTTCTCTTACCTCTACATCTCTGCTCTGCAGGCAGCCTGCAGCCCAGCCAATCAGTTCACCACAACCCCTGGCCACATGCCATTCTGCTGACATGGCGCTCCAGCAAACTGAACTGGGATCAGTACACCCGTACTTTCACCAGGACGTGACCCAGTTTATTCAAAGGAGATGCCACTGATCCAGAGTCAGTGCAGCATGGGACAGAGTTAGTGCAGCATTGCATACTTGCATACCCTTAGGCCAAGTAGACTACACCTATGGCTTAGCTTTGATACACAACTCAACCCTTTGTCTGGCAGTGAACTGTGAGGCGGTCTCAGTTTGAATCAACCTTGAACCTTTATGGGCTGAGTGTGGTGGAGAAACCTGCATACATTGTTCAACCACCTTTTTCCCTTCGCCATCCAGGTTTTATGGTTCCAATTAACCACCTACCCCTTTTTAAGAGCCCTTATTTTTCTCTGTGAGCTGAAGCGCTGGTCTCTGGTGGCTATGGCAGTGATGAATGTGGCTAGGATGTGTGGTCCATATGTCTGTGAAGACAGGCGTCTTCTTAATGACGCATGGAGCATAGAACATGTACAGTATAATCTATGGCATGGAGCCCTGTCTATTTTCTTCAGCCACACTTCCTGTTGAATCTGGTTTCCATGACATCACAGAATGTTTTAACATCCTTCAAGCTGGAAATGTCTTATAATATAATAATTTAATATAATAATTATATGTTGTCTTGCTTACTATATATTGTCCTAGGACCTTATGAAAGGTTTTTCTGTGGCATTATATGCACACTAAAAGGCATTACAAACACAGAACAAAGACAGTTACATACAACATACAGTGGGGGAAAAAAGTATTTAGTCAGCCACCAATTGTGCAAGTTCTCCCACTTAAAAAGATGAGAGAGGCCTGTAATTTTCATCATAGGTACACGTCAACTATGACAGACAAATTGAGAGAAAAAAAATCCAGAAAATCACATTGTAGGATTTTTAATGAATTTATTTGCAAATTATGGTGGAAAATAAGTATTTGGTCACCTACAAAACAAGCAAGATTTCTGGCTCTCACAGACCTGTAACTTCTTCTTTAAGAGGCTCCTCTGTCCTCCACTCGTTACCTGTATTAATGGCACCTGTTTGAACTTGTTATCAGTATAAAATACACCTGTCCACAACCTCAAACAGTCACACTCCAAACTCCACTATGGCCAAGACCAAAGAGCTGTCAAAGGACACCAGAAACAAAATTGTAGATCTGCACCAGGCTGGGAAGACTGAATCTGCAATAGGTAAGCAGCTTGGTTTGAAGAAATCAACTGTGGGAGCAATTATTAGGAAATGGAAGACATACAAGACCACTGATAATCTCCCTCGATCTGGGGCTCCACGCAAGATCTCACCCCGTGGGGTCAAAACGATCACAAGAACGGTGAGCAAAAGTCCCAGAACCACACGGGGGGACAAAGCCTACCATCAGTAACACACTACGCCGCCAGGGACTCAAATCCTGCAGTGCCAGACGTGTCCCCCTGCTTAAGCCAGTACATGTCCAGGCCCGTCTGAAGTTTGCTAGAGTGCATTTGGATGATCCAGAAGAGGATTGGGAGCATTGAAGATGAAACGTGGCTGGGTCTTTCAGCATGACAATGATCCCAAACACAACGCCCGGGCAACGAAGGAGTGGCTTCGTAAGAAGCATTTCAAGGTCCTGGAGTGGCCTAGCCAGTCTCCAGATCTCAACACCATAGAAAATCTTTGGAGGGAGTTGAAAGTCCGTGTTGCCCAGCGACAGCCCCAAAACATCACTGCTCTAGAGGAGATCTGCATGGAGGAATGGGCCAAAATACCAGCAACAGTGTGTGAAAACCTTGTGAAGACTTACAGAAAACGTTTGACCTGTGTCATTGCCAACAAAGGGTATATAACAAAGTATTGAGAAACTTTTGTTATTGACCAAATACTTATTTTCCACCATAATTTGAAAATAAATTCATTAAAAATCCTACAATGTGATTTTCTGGATTTTTTTTCCTCAATTTGTCTGTCATAGTTGACGTGTACCTATGATGAAAATTACAGGCCTCTCTCATCTTTTTAAGTGGGAGAACTTGCACAATTGGTGGCTGACTAAATACTTTTCTTCCCCACTGTATATAGCAGTCTATTGAGAGTAGAATTTGGCCTCTCTCACATTTATAGTAGTCTGTTCCCTGCCTGTCATAAAAGTAACACAACATAAGGACCATTTACTTTTCCAATGTCATGACTGTCTTCCAGTGCCCTGTGAACAGCAGCCATGAATTACCGGTTGTGCTGTTTTTATGGAGCTATCCACGGTACAATTTTATAAGCTCCATTACACCACCACAGAGCATGCCAAGTGGACCCAGGACAAAAGCCAAGGAAACCCAAAGGATGAATGTAAGCTAGAGCTCCTCTTTGGATTTCTCTCAATAGAAAAACGCACCACGTCTCTGCGTCAGTACTACAGATGGACCCTTAACTTTCAATATGTGAAATTCATCTGGGCATATTAGCCAGTTGGCAAACTTCAAGGCTTTTTCCCAAAGGAAGACGTGTGACATGTCAATTGATCACAATCTGTGAAAGATGCATGGAGGGCATCGTCTTTGAATTGAAGTTTAGCACGTGATACAAACAAACACACACACTGGCACACAGATGCAGGCAGGATGCTGTCTCAGTTCTATAGTTATTCAGCGTATATAATCTGACCATAGTGGTTTGCTGTTGAATGCCAGAATTCCCTGCTCTGGTAGTTAAAACAGCCTGTGCTGCTCTGGTTTGGCTATCAACATGTAGGGGAACCAAAAGGCCCTAAGACTGCAGCTAAAGCTTGTCAGTGGAGTGTGTGCGTGCGTGTGTGTGTTGGACAAAGGCAGATGAGGCAGATGATGACATGCCTGATGAAGTGCACACTCCTTTGTGTATTCTATCACAGTTGCACCAGGAGGTTGAGAAATACTGACCCACACACTCAGGGGAAATAGGCCATAGGAAAGGAAAACACTGCAGCCCACAAGAGTCTGATCTAACATACTCCGCCCTGGGAGACAGGGTCGGAAGATGGCGTGCATGTTTGCCTGTCTCCGCGTGTCTCTGTTCATGTTCCCATGTGTGTGTGACCATGTTTGCACATGTGTGTTTGTGCTGGCCACAGGAGACAGAGCTAGACGTGCAGCGGAGTGAATGATGAAGAACACAGCCTGAGCCAGAGCATTAGGTCAGTTAGAACACCAGTGGTCCCACAAACCAGCTCTTGCCTAATACAGGCCCGCCAATGGAAAAAAAGACTAACAAGTTGTTAGTCAGATCTCCAGGGTATTTCCTGGATCGATAGTATGTTGACAGAGAGCGTGAGAAATGTGTGGTTCTATGTGTTGTTGCCATAGTCAGCCATTCCTTGTGTATGAAGTCACACTCAAGCCTAATCATCTCTGGTTTCTCAGAAGTCCTTGATGTTATATAGAGTAGGATATGGAGGAGTGGCCAAAGTGTTAGTGATTTCCTCTGGAAGTCAGTTTGAGCAGTAAACAAGGTTGGAATGATAGGTTTGGAGACAGACACTGTACATATGGATACAATTGAAGATTTTTTTGTAGTCAAAAACTGTACTGATGGAGTACTACATGGAGAATGGTCAATGCTGCGTAAAAAATAAGAAACAGATGTTCTAACCCCATGAGTATCTCTCTCTCTCTCTCTCTCTCTCTCTCTCTCTCTCTCTCTCTCTCTCTCTCTCTGATTACCCATACTAGCGTACTACATAAACTGCATACTCATTTTGGTTCCAGGTAGAACAGAATCTGACAGAGTAAACAACACATCTATTTATGGTTTGTTTACACATCTGCTGTGCCCCCTGCCCTTTCCCCTTTCCCCTTTTCCCTATGACCTCTAACCCCAGCGATACCAAATCACGTCTCTTACCTGCTGCTGCATAGCCAATGAGGAGGATCAGGAGTCCAAGTGAGATGGTGGAGGGGCGGGTCATGGCGGAGGAGAGGAAACCTGAAGTCCAGCTGGAGGGTAAGAGTGGACTATTTAACTGTCTCTTGCAATGAGAGAAATACAGAGGAAGTAAGCAAGAAAGAGAAAGAAAGAGAGAAAGAAATACTCACAGTGTATTCAGTGCCCAAAAACGTATTGAACGTCTCTCTCTTTCTCCTCCTCCCTCGGCTGCACCCAGTATCCTAATGAAAACATTAGATGCAGAACAAAAGCCCTCTATCTGAGGAGGGGGCTGAGGCTGAACGATGAAGCGAGGGGGGTTTTCTAGGGTGGGACTCCTCAGCAAAGCTGGAGCCTGCACTGAAGCATACTCCAACACGGATAACATTTAGCAGGAAGGGCATGAAGGTGGGGTTGTAATCCTTGAGGAACGGTATGGTGTGTAATGACACACTGGGTGAATTCAACGTGAAGAAAAATATATCCTTTAAAATCCTTAAGAGTCTATTGACGCACAATCAAATCAACATTTTTTTTTAAACATACAAATCTGTCAGTTTAAGCTAGAGATATTGTCTCAATCCACCGCATCCACCTATGTCAGCCTTCCACATCTACGGTGGAAAGTGGCAGAGCTACAGAGCTGTTTGTCAGACTAGGAGACATCCCGAAAATCGGTCTTCTCACGAAAACATTGAACGGGTTTGGCCTACTAACTAATATGACCATTCTATGGAAAGATGACTCTACTCTCATTTGCTCTAGGACCCCCACAAGCCCCACAGGACTTGTCTGAAGTCGGTACCGCCGATGTGCCAACTTCTGTCTGTAGCGTCTGAACCGTTTGGGTTACAAACTAGTATGTGGAAATGGGAGACTCTCACGATGGTGTTCTCCGTTCCGTTCTAGACCCCACAAGTGTCAAGGGACTCATCTGAAGGTAACCCGGTACCGGTATAATTTTTTTTATCGAAGTATGGAGGTAGTTTTGCACCAACAAAAAATTGGGTTAAATATGTATCCAAAAAACAAATATTTCCTGAGCTTTTTTATACAGCTGTGGAAAAAATTAAGAGACCACTACAAATTGTTCTTAAATCAGCATTTCTACATGTATGACAGCCATTCCATTTCAGTGTCTGTTGAATTCCAACACAGGCACACCTCATTCTACTGAATTACAGTGAGGGAAAAAAGTATTTGATCCCCTGATGATTTTGTATGTTTGCCCATTGACAAAGAAATGATCAGTCTATAATTTTAATGGTAGGTTTATTTGAACAGTGAGAGACAGAATAACAACAACAAAATCCAGAAAAACGCATGTCAAAAATTTTATAAATTGATTTGCATTTTAATGAGGGAAATAAGTATTTGACCCCTCTGCAAAACATGACTTAGTACTTGGTGGCAAAACCCTTGTTGGCAATCACAGAGGTCAGATGTTTCTTGTAGTTGGCCACCAGGTTTGCACACATCTCAGGAGGGATTTTGTCCCACTCCTCTTTGCAGATCTTCTCCAAGTCATTAAGGTTTCGAGCCTGACGTTTGGCAACTCGAACATTCAGCTCCCTCCACAGATTTTCTATGGGATTAAGGTCTGGAGACTGGCTAGGCCACTCCAGGACCTTAATGTGCTACTTCTTGAGCCATTCCTTTGTTGCCTTGGCCGTGTGTTTTTGGGTCATTGCCATGCTGGAATACCCATCCACGACCCATTTTCAATGCCCTGGCTGAGGGAAGGAGGTTCTCACCCATCGTCCATCGTCCCTTTGATGCGGTGAAGTTGTGCTGTCCCCTTAGCAGAAAAACACCCCCAAAGCATAATGTTTCCACCTCCATGTTTGACGGTGGCGATGGTGTTCTTGGGGTCATAGGCAGCATTCCTCCTCCTCCAAACACGGCGAGTTGAGTTGATGCCAAAGAGCTCAATTTTGGTCTTATCTGACCACAACACTTTCACCCAGTTCTCCTCTGAATCGTTCAGATGTTCATTGGCAAACATCAAACGGGCCTGTATATGTGCTTTCTTGAGCAAGGGGACCTTGCGGGCGCTGCAGGATTTCAGTCCTTCACGGCGTAGTGTGTTACCAATTGTTTTCTTGGTGACTATGGTCCCAGCTGCCTTGAGATCATTGACAAGATCCTCCCGTGTAGTTCTGGGCTGATTCCTCACCGTTCTCATGATCATTGCAACTCAACGAGGTGAGATCTTGCATGGAGCCCCAGGCCGAGGGAGATTGACAGTTATTTTGTTTTTCTTCCATTTGCGAATAATCGCACCAACTGTTGTCACCTTCTCACCAATTTGCTTGGCGATGGTCTTGTAGCCCATTCCAGCCTTGTGTAGGTCTACAATCTTGTCGCTGACATCCTTGGAGAGCTCTTTGGTCTTGGCCATGGTGGAGAGTTTGGAATCTGATTGATTGATTGCTTCTGTGGACAGGTGTCTTTTATACAGGTAACAAACTGAGATTAGGAGCAATCCCTTTAAGAATGGGCTCCTAATCTCAGCTCGTTACCTGTATAAAAGACACCTGGGAGCCAGAAATCTTTCTGATTGAGAGGGGGTCAAATACTTATTTCCCTCATTAAAATGCAAATCAATTAATAACAATTTTGACATGCGTTGTTCTGGATTTTTTTGTTGTTATTCTGTCTCTCACTGTTCATATAAACCTACCATTAAAATTATAGACTCATCATTTCTTTGTCAGTGGGCAAACGTACAAAATCAGCAGGGGATCAAATACTTTTTTCCCTCACTGTATAAATAGTAAAACCAGAGAAACTGATAATTCTGCAGTGGTCTCTTACTTTTTTCCAGAGCTGTACAGTTGAAGTCGGAAGTATACATACACTTAGGTTGGAGTCATTAGAACTTGTTTTTCAATCACTCCACAAATGTCTTGTTAACAAATTATAGTTTTGGCAAGTCGGTTAGGGCATCTACTTTGTGCATGACACAAGTAATTCTTCCAACAATTGTTTACAGACAGATTATTTCACTTATAATTCAGTGTATCACAATTCCAGTGGGTCAGAAGTTTACATACACTAAGTTGACCGTGCCTTTAAACAGCTTGGAAAATTCCATAAAATTATGTCATGGCTTTAGAAGCTTCTGATAGGCTAATTGACATCATTTGAGTCAATTGGAGGTGTACCTGTGGATGTATTTCAAGGCCTACCTTCAACATCAGTGCCTCTTTGCTTGACATCATGGGAAAATCAAAATAAATCAGCTAAGACCTCAGAAAAAGAATTGTAGACCTCCACAAGTCTGGTTCATCCTTGGGAGCAATTTCCAAACGCCTGAAGGTACCACGTTCATCTGTACAAACAATAGTATGCAGGTATAAACACCATGGGACCATGCAGCCGTCATATCTCTCAGGAAGGAGACGCGTTCTGTCTCCTAGAGATTAACGTACGTTGGTTGCGAAAACTGCAAATCAATCCCAGAACAACAGCAAAGGACCTTTTGAAGATGCTGGAGGAAACAGGTACAAAAGTATCTATATCCACAGTAAAGCGAGTCCTATATCGACATAACCTGATAGGCCACTCAGCACGGAAGAATCCACTGCTCCAAAACCGCCATAAAAAAGGCAGACTACGGTTTGCAACTGCACATGGGGACAAAGATCATACTTTTTTGAGAAATGTCCTCTGGTCTGATGAAACAAAAATAGAACTGTTTGGCCATAATGACCATCGTTATGTTTGGAAGAAAAAGGGGGAGCTTGCAAGCCAAAGAACAGCATCCCAACCGTGAAGCACGGGGTGGCAGCATCATACTGTGGGGGTGCTTTACTGCAGGAGGGACTGGTGCACTTCACAAAATAGATGGCATCATGAGGAAGGAAAATTATGTGGATATATTGAAGCAACATCTCAAGACATCAGTCAGGAAGTTAAAGCTTGGTCGCAAATGGGTCTTCCAAATGGACAATGACCCCCCAAAAAATAAAAACTGAAATATGACATTTACATACAGAAACAGTCAAAAGTTTGGAAACACCTACTCATTCCAGGGTTTGTCTTTATTTTTACAATTTTCTACATTGTAGAATAATAGTGAAAACATCAAAACTATGAAATAACACATATGGAATCATGTAGTAACCAAAAAAGATTTGAGATTCTTCAAAGTAGCCACCCTTTGCCTTGATGACAGCTTTGCACACTTTTGGCATTCTCTCAACCAGCTTCATGAGGTAGTCACCTGGAATGCATTTCAATTAACAGGTGTGCCTTGTTAAAAGTTAATTTGTGGAATTTCTTTCCTTCTTAATGCATTTGAGCCAATCAGTTGTGTTGTGACAAGGTAGGGGTGGTATACCCTATTTGGTAAAAGACCAAGTCCATATTATGGCAAGGACAGCTCAAATAAGCAAAGAGAAACGACAGTCCATCATTACTTTAAGACATGAAGGTCAGTCAATCCGGAATATTTCAAGAACTTTAAAAGTTTCTTCAAGCGCAGTCGCAAAAACCATGAAGCGCTATGATGAAACTGGCTCTCATGAGGACCGCCAGAATAAAGGAAGACCCAGCGTTACCTCTGCTGCAGAGGATAAGTTCATTAGAGTTAACTGCACCTCATATTGCAGCCCAAATAAATGCTTCACATAGTTCTAGTAACAGACACATCTCAAAATCAACTGTTTAGAGGAGACTGTGTGAATCAGGCCTTCATGGTCGAATGTTTGCAAAGAAACCACTACTAAAGGACACCAATAAGAAGAAGAGACTTGCTTGGGCCAAGAAACACGAGCAATGGACATTAGACGGGCGGAAATCTGTCCGTTGGTCTGATGAGTCCAAATTTTAGATGTTTGGTTCCAACTGCCGTGTCTTTGTGAGAAGCAGAGTAGGTGAACGGATGATCTCTGCATGTGTGGTTCCCACCGTGAAGCATGGAGGAGGAGTTGTGATGGTGTGGGGGTGCTTTGCTGATGACACTGTCAGGGATTTATTTAGAATTCAAGGCACACTTAACCAGCATGGCTACCACAGCATTCTGCAGCGATACGCCATCCCATCTGGTTTGCGCATAGTGGGACTATCATTTGTTTTTCAACAGGACAATGACCCAAAACACACCTCCAGGCTGTGTAAGGGCTATTTGACCAAGAAGGAGAGTGATGGAGTGCTGCATCAGATGACCTGGCCTCCACAATCACCCGACCTCAACCCAATTGAGATGGTTTGGGAAAGGTTGGCCCGCAGAGTGAAGGAAAAGCATATGTGGGAACTCCTTCAAGACTGTTGGAAAAGCATTGCTGAT